CATCCCAGAGCAGGGATACTCCAGAAGAGGCGTATTACATCCCAAAGCAGAGATACTCCAGAAGAGGCGTTATACATCCCAGAGCAGGGATACTTCAGAAGAGGTGTATTACATCCCAGAGCAGGGATACTTCAGAAGAGGTGTATTACATCCCAGAGCAGGGATACTCCAGAAGAGCTGTAATACATTCCGGAGCTGAGCTGAAAGACATTTTGAAGTTTACTGTTATTAAATGTGTGTTGAAATAGAGTATAAAAATCCCGTATAACATTGTTTTGTACATGTAAATGCCATCTCTGAGTCCCAGTGACAGCTGAAGCACCAAACAAGCTCGGCGCCCGTGAAAAACACCTCCGAATCCCTAAACATCGCCACCAGACTTTCTCCGAGAGGGTACGGGTTCTTGGCAGAGGTCTGGCGCGCGACAGTATGTATTAAAATTGATTTAACGTCAAAATTGACGACAGAATATGTTCATAGAATAGCAATCAATATAACGCGCCACAGTTGTGTTCTGACTTGAAAAAGGTTTAATTCCAGACACCACTGGAAAACTAACGTATCTTCCATGTATTATATTTAAATGATCTAGAAATACCATAATATACAACGCAAAGAAGAGGTTTCTACTAACTGCTGGATGTTGCAACTCCATTTTGATGAAAATATTTCTATTTTTTATAAAATTTCTTTACATTGCTACTGAGTAAAGTCTGAATTTTTTCATCAAGTAAATCATTATTACTAGTGTTTCAAACTTCAAAGTAGACATCTTATTCACAGATCCGACCAAACTCCATACAAAATTTGAGAAATTATTGGCATACAACTGAAACTTATTCAAAACAGCATTTGTATTATTCAATAGCGAATAGGATCAATTATTCCCAGGGGGAGCTGGAGGAGGATATCACCGACGCGAGAATTCATTGTCTTTTTCATTTTTAGAGTTTTTATACTCACCAAGATTCAATGATTTCACTAATTACGTTTACACGGTGCCCATGTCAAGCTGCGCGCCTACTTAGGCGCTCAGTTTGTTTCGATCACAAACTGCATGCCTAAGAACACTGCATCATTGGAGTCTGTATTTTGAAACGTAATTTAAAGACATTTATCCTGCATTGTTTTCTTGTTCCATGCGTTCATTCTGTGGCGAATATACGAATCTTGCAAATACTAGCAAAAACTATGTGCAAATGAATCTAAGTTTTAAAACATAAGCAGATTAATGGCATTTTCGTCACTGATTTAACGGGAATTTATACGTAAATCGATCTAGCACTTTAAACATAAATGACAAATACTTGAGACTCGTTTTATATTTAATTCCTTACACATTTATCATGTATAATTCAAAATATTTCGAAATAAAACTGATAATCAGGAGATTAAAAAGAAATAAATCACAAACTGCGCGCCTATTTTAGCCAGAAATTACAAACTGTGCGCATACACTATTAAAACTACATATTATCATTGGAATTTCTACAGAGGCATGTGTAGGTGTTTTTCATGTAGCTTTGGAAATTTTGCTTTATCGTCAGATTTTATGAGATTTTCATATTGAAAGTCAAAATGTATAATAGAAGTGACAATTAATTTGGGAACGAAAAAAACGTTTATTTTCAGATCACCATCTTGGTGGATGGACTCTCATTGTGTTTCAATTATATATTTTCTAATAATACAAAACAAGCTTGGATAGGCAAGCAGTTTTGGAAATATTAGGCACGGAGTTTGGGAAATACATGTGCATAGAGGCGCGCAGTATGACAAGAAAAATGTTTAAATCACGTTTATGGTGTATTATCGTTATGAACACAAACTTTGCTGATTTAATCAGATGGAGTGATCCTATATATTCTAGCATACACAGACACAATGGCTGAATAAACGGCAAATGACGATAAAAAGACATAGACATAACTTTACACTGTAAATTTTGAACACAGAAGTTACTTAAGACCCTTATATTGAGATAACTAGGTTTACATCGGGAAAAACATTGAGTACTATGAGTAAATTAAGTTCATCTTCACAGAATGGTACTATCTTTAGAACGAGACTAACCTTGTATTTTTCGTATTTTGGCTCTTTTTGGGAGTCGTGTCCTCCCCGTCTCACATTTTGAAATATGCGCGCAGTTTGTCAGAGTTTCAAACTGCGTGCCTAGTAGGCACGCAGCTTGACATGGGCATCGTGGTTTAATTATTTTACTTGTTTTTCTTCGTATTTTACCCTATATGAACGTCCACATACTGAGAAATTAAGTGTAACGCATAGAACGTCCAAAAATGGACGACAGAATATATTCACAGACGAATGATCTAGAAACCCTATAATATACAACGCAAAGAAGAGGTTTCAGCTAACTCAGTGCTGGATGTTGCAACTCCATTTTGATTTTTTATGAAGATATTGTTTTTAAATAGAATGTGTTTACATTGCTATTGAGTAAATCTTGGATTTTTTTTCATCAAGTAAATCATTATTGCAAGTGTCAAACTTCGAAGTAGATGTCTTATTCACAGATCCGACCAAACTCTATACAAAATTTTGGGTGTAGAGATGTCCAGTCATAATTGGAATTTCTCTGATTCAAGTCCGGGGCCTTGAAAAGTTCATAATAAGTTTAACGTCCTGCTGAGAGGCCAAACTTTTGGAGTAATCGAAGTGAAAAAAAGTTAAAAACAAAACCTTCATTTATTGTATTCTATAGAAGATGTAATTCAAATGTTGAAATAATATAACTTCAAACAATTAAATACCTGCTGATAAAATAACTGAGGTTCACATTAACTGTTTGAAGTTGAAATAATTTTATTCGGAATCAAAATATTTTGGGCCTTTTACAATGCACAGTGACGTCATATCTCCGTAACTTTGCGGACAAAGATACGATTACGATACGGAGTTTGGAGAAATGCAATTTGAAACTCCGCATCTTTCTCGTAACTTTTTAAATTTTATGGAAATTGTAACTCTACGGGTCCGTAACTTTACGGAGTTTGGAGAAATAGACCCCAGGTCCACTTTTTGCCAAACTTGGCCCAAACATAACTCTGGGTCGTTATCTTTCAAAATTCAAGTTGTCAGGGTTGCCATCTGTCAAGATTAGATCTAATGCAATGGAACAGTTACTTACAGATGGCAGCACTGAGCAGTGACAATGGGAGTCCCTGTGCATGGCAACAAGCCTGCACTACTGGTAAGGAGGGGCGATGTCAACGTGGTAGCCTTACAGTCGTTCCAGGGTATTTCAACAAAAGGACTCACTAGGGGGGGGGGGGGGGTACATGGGCTAACCAGGGAGTTTCCTTTCAATTTTGAAATGAGTTGTAAACCATAGATCTATTTTTTAAATGTTAGGTTTATATTGTATTCTATTCAAATTCTATCACTGTTAAACTGTATATCTGCTATGGGCTTGTTAGCCTTTTGCAGATTATTGATGTAGATGTAGATGGAGTAAACCTGTTGCTTATATTTGACGATAAAACAATCACAGACGGGCATTGAATTTAGCACGCTCTATAATAATGCCTCATTATACAATGCTTAGCAGTATAACATGAACATTTTTTATTCTATAGTATTAATACTTTTTATTGTATTACAAACCTGTTCGAAGAGGGGGGGGGGGGCATTAGGGGAGTAACCCTTTTCAAACTCTAACTTTTCTCGGGACCCTCTTACCCGGGCCCTCCTACAGTTAGCTTTCGGCACTTACACTTGCTTTGCTGGGCAATGGACAGGCCTAAATTATTTTCCTACTCCTATTGAATCACACAAAGAAACCTTGAAATGTATAAGATACTTTTTACTAACAAAATTGCTTTAACTTGTAGGTCAGTGGTACTCCACAGATGTCACTGTTTAAAAGAAGAGGAGGAATACCCCAGGGTTTAGAGAAGATCCGAATCTGAATATATCTGACTCAGAATCACTGATTGATTATTTGACAGGAAGTGACATTAACAAATTTTGAATTCAACAATCTAAAACGCTAAGAATAATATTAGAGCGTGTTATTTCATGTTAAAATAAAAAAATTGTAAGGAAGTTAATTTGAAAACATATAATAGAATCAAACCCTATGCTAAGGGCTGATATGAAAAAAATTGGGCCTTAAAAATGTTTGGGCCAAAAGTGGGCCTTTTGGTCATTTGGGCCTTCTAAGGTCTAATATTTAAATTCAGGTCAAATTTTGAAGAAAATGGGCCTCAAAATTTGGGCCCACTTTTGGCTTTTAGGGGCCCAAGACGGAAGTTTTTTTCTCTGACCTAAAATTGCGAACTCCCGTGCAGTGATATATCACTGCGGCGGGCAGGTATCTCACCGTAAGCATGGTAACTTCGTAATAAACAACTGACGTGATTGGTTCTAGTCCCATGCTCAGGTCGCGTGATTGTAGAATTTAGACAATTTCATTGGTTGAATTGCGCGTATTAACTAATAAACAACACGTGCGGTAAACTATTATCAACAAAACTTCTACTCAGAATTCCTTCCGCGGTGATTTCTTCTCATATTTCAATAATTTTGAAATATTTTAACAAAATAATGTTTGGGGAACATTCATGAATACATATTTTATAAGTTGTGTGAAAATTGACCACATATGCGATGAAAATGGGAACTATTTTCCCCAACTTTTGGGGATTTGCTTCATCTACCCGCCGGAGTGTCTATACCGAGACACTGCATTGGAGTTCGCTAAAATTGTTTATTGTGCCATCATGTAATAGTGGAGTTACCCCTTCTGCAATGAAAATTGAGTTTATTTTACTCCAGTGTATTTCACGCCCGAGCAAATTATATGACTTTTCTTTTTCAGCATTTGTAAATAAAGTGCACTGCTAGATTATCATATTCAACTGAACACAGTAGAGTGATTTATTATCAGTAAACACACAACCCAGACATAAATAGCAATCCAAAGTCCATGTGAGTTCTTATAAAATCAAAATGATCGATCCCCTAATAGCACTTGCTATCCCACAATTCATCAGAGTAAACTAATATGGCGAATGGCTATTTCCAAATATCCAGCGCGTGTCTCATTTTCCTCGTTGTAAGCGTTCAGAGAGTAGTAGGATCAAAAGTTCTCGCAGCAAGTGTTGAGGGTATACGTCTGGAAGATGAATCCGGTATCGTTAAAGATGGTGTGCCATTTGTGGTCGCAGGAACCAACACGAAAGTTCGACTTTTTGGATCAGATTTTTCCAGCAAAACCGAATTATCATTTACCACTAAGCTAGCAAACAGAAGCGATGATTGTGATGATTTGAGAAGCACTGATGTGTACCATGTAGTCGAAAACGAAATATATGACACATCAGCTATATTTGACATCAACATTCCCCTGGTATATGATGGTGCAGAATATTTTCTTATTTGCGTCAAGGAAGTCCTTCAAACGAAAACGAATGAAACTGTCTCCAGGTGGATACATCAAGGTGATAAACCATGGCTTCGATTGTCTTCATTTCCAGCCCCAAAGAAAACAACGTTGCTCCCACTACCCGTTCAGATCCTTATGGTTGGTGTGTTATTATGCCTCTCCGGACTATGTAGTGGTCTTAATCTGGGCCTCATGGCCATTGACTGTACAGAACTGAAAATCATACAAAATGTTGGAAGTGAACAGGAGAAAAAATATGCTAAGGCCATATCCCCTGTGAGACAAAGAGGCAACTTTTTATTGTGTACAATCTTACTTGGAAACGTCCTGGTAAACAACACATTAACAATATTGATGGACGATTTGACTGGAAGTGGGTTTATTGCCGTTATAATTGCTACAATGGGTATTGTGATATTTGGTGAGATTATTCCACAGGCAGTGTGTTCACGTCATGGTTTAGCTATTGGAGCAAAGACTATTTGGGTAACATATATTTTCATGATTTTAACATTTCCAATATCTTTTCCAATCAGTAAACTGTTAGATTGCTTGCTTGGGGAGGAAATAGGGACAGTTTATAATCGTACCAGATTACGAGAACTACTCACAGTTACCCAAGAGTACAATGATCTTCAGAAGGACGAACTCAATATTATTACAGGTACGTATATGAAGATGCAATTATCCCCAGTTTAAATTGAAGCAACTAGATGCAACAACCAGTCAAACATTTAAAATTCAATATAGGATTGACAGTTTTGTTTGAACATAAATCCTGCAATATTAAATCATAATGCTTTTTCTTAACCTCTTGACTACCCAGAGTGACGAGATTTCAGAAATGACCTTTGAACTTGAGTGAAGAGATAATCTGTCACAAAATATTTCACTAAAATTGCTCTTATTTGAATTTTTATCCAATTTACACAAAAATTGTTTTAAAATGTCTAGAAATGATCTCTTCAGTTTAATTTTATGAAATTGAACATCATCTCTTGTATATGTATGTAGTAAAATGTCAAAAGCTGGCAAAAATGAAAAATAATCTGGTTTCAACCTATTTTAGAACCTGCGATTCAAGAGGTTAATCAGCATCATTGTTGTTTTGAAAACTGTTGATGTTCAGCATTGAGATATTCAGTCGAAACTAAAACTGAATCATCTACTCCCCTGCACTGTTAGCAATGTTTCAAACTAACTTTAATAACCAACTTCCCAAATTCACAAAATTCTTTCAAAGAATAAGACTTGCTCTGGCTTCTCCAATCATTTTTTGAGTTTCATGTTGTATTCCTTATCAACACATATTGTTTGTTGACTAGGAGCACTTGAGCTTTCTAAGAAGACAGTGAAAGATGTGATGACAAGAATAGAAGACGTGTACAGTCTTCAGATTTCTGCTGTTCTAGACTTTGATACCATGTCAAATATAATGAAGAAGGGCTACACTAGGATTCCAGTCTTTGATGATGACAGGTATATACCATACAAACATTGTATATATACATACTTTGTACTTGATGTATAATACTATCAGTTATCACACGTTTCAGCATGTGATACAGGAAATATTCCACGAAAGGTAATACTGTATCATCCACGAAAGCGAAGCTTGAGTGGTGATACATTGTTACCCAAGTGAAATATTTCCTGTTTCACATAAGCTGAAACGTGTGATGACGATTTTATCACATGTCAATGAATTTTGGGGCATTTTGATTTGGTCAATTATGATTGTGTTTAGTGCTCTGTACTCCCGGTAGCTATTATAATTTTTGTTTTGAAATTTCGCTTTGAAATGATATGACGTCATACTGTTGTATTCGTACTTTTTAGTGAAATAATATGACGTCATACTGTTTTCTTTAGCTTGGATGTGATATAACCATCGACGTCATATCGTTACTATTGACTCCGTAGTGATACAGCCCACCGTATCACATGAAAATTAGTCACGTGTCATTTGATATGGAATATACGTTGTCACAATTGACCAATCAAAATGCTTAGAAACTCCTAACCATGTGATAATCTACAATATAGTACATGTTAAAGATAATTAAATAAACTGACCCAGTAACACACTACATTAATGAAATCCTGGGTATAATGGTATAGCACTGTGGAGGGAATTTTTCAGTATGAGCCTAGCTATTGGCCTAATATGCATGCATTTTACTCTCTGATTTATGATCAAAATGGCCAAATATATACAAATTAGAATCCAGAATATTTAAATATGTATTCGGAAAAAGACCTGTGGCCTGGAAGGCTAAAAATTATCATTTTAATTGTAGACGTAACATTGTCCAGATCTTGAATATCAAAGATCTTGCGTTTGTTGACCCTGATGATAATACACCATTGAGATCTGTTTGCAAGTTCTACAACCATCCTGTCAACTTTTGCTTTGAGGATCAGAAACTGGATGCCATGCTGGAGGAGTTCAAAAAGGGTCAGTACTTAAATTTATTGTGTCATGCCTCTCATAGACAACTGGAGATTGATTTAAAAAAATTTTGTGATATTTTTTAGGATGAAATTCTAGAAATTATCACTTTTTGGGCATGCTGGGTAGCTTTTAAGGCAGCCATTTTTCTTTTTAGATACAATATTGTTTACCATGTGTTTAAGAATGTTTAAGAGATAATAGCTTGAATATAATGTAGGTCTGTGAGTTATATGTCCTGTTGACATGCATACAGTTTGACTCTTGAATCATCATAGATCCAGTATGATCTTGAACTTGGCAACCTTGGCCACAATATTTATTGGATGTCAAACACCTCTCACTCAGAGAATAGAGGATCGACACCCTTTTTCAAAAGTTCAATCTAATCTACTTAGTCAGTTCTAGGCTCTTAGTGAGTGATTCGATAGTTAGATATATGGTAAGATGCTCTACATTGAAGCAGGTTAATAGAATAAATAATGAATATAAAAATTCATATACCAGCTGTCAAAATGAGCTCAAAATTATAATGACTCGAAGAAAAACAATAACAAATCTCTCCCACCCCCTTAACCTCATTTGAAATGTCCCATATCAAATAAATAGCCAAGGTAATGACTGTAGTATGAGTTATGTAGATGAATGTATTTTGACAATTAAACATGATCTATCTGTTTATATTATCAGGAAATTCTATGTGATAAACACTTTAAGCCCCAAGGGAAACATCATTTATATCTCCACCTTTGAACCTATTGTGTTTTAAAAATACCAACATTAGAAGGTCATCATGACATAATACTCAATGAAAGTCCCTGGATGTGTTTTCACTGTAGTTCTTTCATTTTGTTATAGAATATGTTTCTATAGAATGAGTTAATAGTTGCTGCCACTGCCAGTTGTAGTAGTACAGTAAAACATGTATATCATAATATGTGGTAAGTGGAACACCCTTACCCTTAGTACAGTAAAACCTGTGTAGAATATATATAGACTGAAAAATGTTCTAGAAACAAAGGTGTTCCACTTATGTAGGTCTTCCACTTGACAGGTTTTACTGCATATGAGTTGCTTGGTATAAGTCTGACTGAGGCATTTCACCTTACTCAAAATTTTAAGGAAGGTGTAAAGTTGAATGAAGAATATTTTACTTAAAATACATACGGGCCTAAAAAAATTCTCAGATCTGATCGAATTTACACTTTGCGGTTTTATGACTGTCTTGACAAAATGATTTTTTTGTTGCAAAGGACTGTTCAGAATTTTGTATGACACAATTATAAATGTAATCAATGTGATCAGTTCATATATAAAAATCCCCTGGAGGACTCTACAATAGCAGTAAAATGAGATTGTTTAAATTTCCAATATCTGAATAGTAAACACTTGTCAGTAAGAGAGACTGCATGCATGTCCTTCAGGCATGCAAACATTTACTTTCATTGAATACCCAAATAGTTAGCAAACTTACCCACTGGCTATAACAGATGATTTTTCATTTATGATACCAATAAAACTACACCAATTCTCAATCTTGTCAACTTTCATGGGAGTTTGAATGTAAAAATAAAATTTGCGACTAATAGGCAGAAAACATAATGTTTATGATTTACTCAGTATGTAATCTGATTGGATGTAGGCTTGCTCAATGAATTGTCTCTAATCTAAAGAGTGTATCTGAAGTTCAGCTCTTGCAATGGGTAACATTTGTTCTTTGAAGCTCTGAATTATCCATGGCAAATATATTTCAATAAGTACTATTACAACTATGTAGGTGCACAAACTGCAAATTGTTTTTTAAAGGGATTTATTACCCCATGGTTCATTGAAACAAAAAATTCTAGCTCCGGTTGTCAAATTATATTATATCAGCTCAGAAGGAGTTCTCTCCTTTTATGTCATGGGGGAGAGGGCAATCACTCTCCAGTGTCAGGATCAAATGCTTCATATGTCAGCTGGGAGAAGGATCTCTGTTACTGTATCACTGGATCATAAGTTATAAGTCAGTAGGGAGAGAGATCCTTATCTATTACTGTATCACAGAATCAAAAGTCAGCTGGGAGGGGTATCTACTAATCTCTCTCTGTAACTGTATCAATCACAGGGCATGACGAGGATAATGTGACATAAGTCTCCTTACTGTATCACAGAGTCATATGTCTGGAAGGGGAGGGGGGGGTAATTACTATCCTTTTACAGGATCATGTAATTACACTTACATTTAATATCTTGAAGACTTGGCTAAGACTTTTGAAACATGATAACAGTTGTGACTGTTTACATTTTTCTTAATTTTAATGTGTATTTGATATTTTAAACTCCTTCAGATTTTAACTTCAAGAGAATTTTAAGTGAAAGAGTAGATAACAGTAAGAAGTCCTGTGCTCCCAGACTTAAGTTTTCAAGATAAGTGTGTTTACCAAAGTAAAATTTATCAAGTACACATGAATTGCATCTTTGAATGCTTACTTTGAATCTTAGGTGATTTGATAATGAAGAATTTTTCATTTTAACGAGTGCTAGGGTTGTCATTTACGATTGGCTCAATCTGAGGATTGCATCAGTGACCTTGAGATTACCAAGGTGCCAGACAGTTAAAGCAAAATCAGTGTTCTCCATAAGATTTTTTCTCAAGTGGGTGCAAAATTCAAATTTTCACAAATCAGTCCAAAATTGGTCTAAATATTCCTATTTTTTTCATGATTTTTCTCATTTTCAATTTTCAAGTGGGTGCAAATGGATTTTCAGGTGGGTGCAAGCCTTTTTTGAAATCTCGGGTAGGTGTTGCGCCCACTTGCTTTAATGCTAGGGAAATCACTGAAAATGGTATTTTCAAACTTTGAATATTCTTAGTTTACTCAAATTAACATCGTATTTCAACTGTACGAGATATGTAAAGCTACATATGTATTGGCATTTTTATTGGCACCTTTTTATTTATTTAGAATTTTATTTTTGACCCAATTAAATCCAACCAAATATATTTAAGTTAACAAGTGTATAATGTATAACATTTATTGACATATTGTATCATTGCATGATTACATTAGTCGCATAAATATATCTTATAATATCAAATAGGAAAGTTCAGTCATTTCTCACCTTTTTGAATTGTTATTTCCTCAGAATCACAAACCGTAACTAGACGTTTGTAATGTATGATGATTCTTATAAAAAATAAACATCCTCATCCTTCTTTCAAAGAATAAAACTAAAGGATATTAAGTTTAAAATTTTGTCTTTTTGTGTTAATCAGCATTACATTTAAGTGCAAAATTATAAAATTCAAAGTACCTCAAATATTGTTCCTGGAACTCTTATTATGGACCTCAAAGATTTTTGTACATTTAAAGTATCGTAATTATGTCAGATGTTTCACAATTCTTTTGCGTGGGAGTGTTGAGAACAAGTTATTACAATCTAAGTCGATATTGTGCTTTTGAATATTCTTTTGTTAATTAATGATTGTTTTCTCACATTTCTTTAAAAAAACATAAACCATGTCATGCGATGCAATGCTCAGTTCGTAAAGGTTGTTATTTTCATTCTATGAATTCTATATTTTGTTTGCCTTTTGAAATATTTGAAGAGGGGGGGGGGTAGTGGTTAGAGGAAGAATTTACTCGTGTTGCCATAGCTCAGTTATTCGATGAATATAATTCATGTAATGTGTACATTTAACATGGATTAAGCATTTAGCAATAGAAAAATAGATAAGCGTATAAATATGAAGTCAAGAATATACATTCTTATCTAAGAGACCTATTGTCCAATTTTAACCTTTGTTTATATGTTTCATTTTTCTAAAGAAGCACAAGTAAAACATGTACATTGTACTATTGTTTACATGAGATATCACATTTCAGTTGAATTACAAACAATTTATTTATTTGAAAATACATCAACTTGGGATTTCTTTGACCAATATCCCAGATGAGAGTAGAAATAATCTTGATTTACTCATCAAAAATTCACAATTCAGTCAAACTGATGTCATATTTGGAATCTACATGTAAAATTACATTGGAAATGTGGTTTTGAAAAGAGTTTATCAACTTTGAAAATTTAATTTTCTTTGAAAATGTCACTTCTAGGTCGGGGAGATTCTCCATAGACCCCATGTTGTAATATCATATATGTTGGGCAGATAATATTTGCTTTTACTGGACATATTTTATTTTGTATAACTATAAGATACATAAAGGTAATAAGACAAGTGAACCACTAAAACTGATGCATATTCAAGTTTAAGGGAATTTTGTAATACCCTGCCATGTTATTTCCCCCAAATCAGCCACCTGGTGGCGAAACTGGTAACTACCTACTCGCGTTTGAGTAATTAACCTTGCTTAGGACAAATTCGTCTTTTGATAACTTCTAAACTAAGTAAATGTCATTATGAGAAATCAATATAATTATCTAATAATTAGAAATATTAATGCACAATATGTATTGAAGAATACAGTCTCTCTTTTGAGTGTATTGAATAATTTATCAAATAAACATTTTAGAAGCTGAACTTTAATTTGGCATAAAGGCGTGAATTTTTGATAGATCACAAGCTTACCATTAAGCATGATTGTGCACTTGACAGTAGTACTTATTTTATTTCCTTCATATTGAAGATTTACAACATTTTATGAATGGTAAATTACATTAATGAATCAAAGTAAAACATATTATAAGAAAAGGTGAGACTATTTAACTATCAGAATTCAAGGAATTGGGGTAAACCCCAATAGCCAAAAATTATTTCAAAATAATGCAGTTTTTCGTGATTCTGAGCATTTTTCATTTGATTTGATCCAAATTTGTCAAAGCGAAATCCCTACAATTTTTCTGAAAAGTGATTGAACCCCCTTTACAAAAGCTGGCTACGGGCCTGCACTTAGTGTATGTACTAGAGACTCATAATCGCTTGATATTACTCCGTTGTTTTGTTACTCACCAAATTTATAGGTAATATTTCTGTATCCCTTTTACCACCCTAAATAACGAAATCATGTTGAAAACTGTTTGACACTATGAATAGGGTTCAATAAAAATAAAGTGCCCCATGTGCCTCATCCTGGCTTGACTAGAACAATTCTATTATCTAGATTGAAAAATTGCGGCTATATAACTCAGACCCTTTACAGGATATAATTATGCACAATTGCATCAAAAATTGATGACTTAAGATTAAAAATTGCTAAAAATCATACAAATAAATAATTCAAATAATTTTTGGAAGTACATTCATAGAATACATCTATTTCACATATATTCCATGTCTTTTGGCCCAGGCCCAGGGACCATATAAAAAGGTTGAAAACAAGATTTTTTTTGAGATCTCTGAATAAATACGTAGATGCGAGTAGAAATAATCATTAAATGTTCAAAATTCAGTCAAAGTGATGTCATATTTGAAATCTACCATATATAACATCTAGAAATATGGTTTCGAAAATTGTTTATCAACTTTGAATTTTTTTTTTGAAAATGTGACTTCTAGTTTGGGTTGATTCCCCATAGATCCCATGTTGCAAAATCACAAAAAGTGAAATGTTTTTTCTTGTATTGAACAGATAACATTTTCTTTTACTGGACGTATATTTAAATTTGAATAACAATTAGATGCATAAGGGTTATGTGAAAATTGAACCACTAAAACAGATGTAATTTAAGTTAAAGGGAACTTTCTACTATACCCACCATGCTATCTGACCTGAATGAGCCACCTTGTGGTTAAAGTGGTAACTACCTTTTTATATTCAAAGAAAAGGCATTTAAGAGTAGAATTTAAGAGTAGAATCATTTTAGAAAATAATTTCTATGCACTAACATTGCTCATATCGTTTATATTGTATCATGAAGTCAATATTGTTTATATCTAAATTGAAAATTGTTTCATGTTACCTCCAATATAACCCAGTAACGATGATAAAAATCAAAAAGAAAAAGTGATATGGTAGCACATGAACGTGTAGGCAATCTCAAGGCAAATAAGGTACATGTATGACATAAGATGGACAGCAATGTAGATATTAAGTTAATTGTTATGCAGTTAGTTTGTTACACAAATAAATCCTGGGAATTCTAGTATAAACTAGTACACTTCATGTCAATTGTACTCAACTGTATCAAGGTGAAAGTTTTGATAATTTATCAAAATAATTTATGGTATCTTGAAAACTAAGGTAGGTCTTGATAATGTGTATAATATATTGGATAAATATGAGATAAAATGAAATGATTTACTTTAAATGCCCATAAGTAACTAAGTGCAGTATTTGTAATTATCTATTTAATTTATTGTAATTTTTGTTTATCAAGTTTATGAAGTATGACAAAATAGTATCAGTTCTTACAAATATAACCAAAATATTATGAATTGTTCACAAAATAATTATTAAAAACCTTGATTTTAATAGTGATATATGAGAAAATCTTGAAACTTCACCCATTGACAAGAATAACATTTTGCCTTTTAATTGATATTTTAGTACAAAACGATAAGGTACACTTAACTGTAGTCATTATTCAAACTTTAATATTAATTTAGAAATCTTAAAGATTAAAGAAATCTAAGTTAGATTGATTAAAATTTATAATTAACAATCATAAATTTTGTGTAATCACTCATGATTAGAAGATATATGATAACAGGTCGGATGATGAGTGAACTCTTGAGAAATATATGCAAGGTGGATGTTTGTGTCTTCATGTGTTTTTTGTCTATCTATAGTTACTGTATCTCATCTTTCAAGATTGGGCATTCACTGTCCCAGCTCATAGAATAATTTGAAATGCCCATGGACCAAGAATGACTGTATCTCTTTGATCTGACTTTGCCATTTCTTAAGTTGTGATGGTTTTCCAAAAATGGCATTTTTAACATCAAAAATATAATATTGTTTAATATATTGTATTTGTTTGTAAATATAACAAAGGATATGCTATGTTTGAACTCACTGTGTGAGCACAGAGGCCATGGGTCCTTTATTTTAAATTGGTTATATTACGTAGATACTGTTAACTGTATTTCTTAATTCTTTTATTTCCATAGTGTTACCATTTGTGTTTTCTGGTTATCGATGTACCAGACTATACACTTGTAATTGAATGTCTGTGACATTGAGAGTCTTTATCTCTGGATTAGTTAATGAAAACACAGATTGAAATCCTGTGCTAATGTCTCATGTGAAAAAGTCAGTCCACCCCAGTGGGATCGAACCCACCCAAAAAACTCTCATTGTCTGTGACATTAAGAGTTTTTTTACTCTGGAAACCAAGCATGATCCTTCAAGAGGAAACAACTTGGCAAGTAATTATCAATCAATCTTATTCCATCAATACAATGTGCAGGGCTGATAAACCAACTGGAAGAATGCTCTAAATTAAGAACCACCAATTTCCTCTACATCTTCAAGATTTTTAAATTTTCTTGGCAGTAAATGAGATGTCTCTATAAATAGACTACAGAGTATTGTCACAAGTCCTTGCATAAAGGATCAGGTGCGATTATTGGCTAATATCCCTATGGTCAAAATGAATCATTCTTAGGTGTAACATGAAGAATAAAATGTCATATAATACTTTGGAAAATATTAAAGTGCTCAGGCACACATAAGCTGAGATAGGGATCATTTCGTTCGGTAAGGTTGTATTGACTTACATGGGGCTGTGCACCATTGACTTAACATGAGGATATCAGCAGATCCCAATAGAGGCCATTGGTTTCCATTGATTATCACAGAAATACCCAAAATACACTATGACCTGAATCGACTGCAAACTTAATAATTTCACAATATGACACAAATGGTTTATCTCATCAAATGTGCAAATATGAAGTTTGCAATCGATTCAGGTCATACTTAAAATTAAAAGATTGTACATTTTTTCATCATTTTTTCCCTACAAAATGGCTATAGAAAAATGCTCCAAAAACAACTTTTACACTTATCAAATATCATACAAGTTTGTAAAATCAAAGATTATACTATTATATTTCATTATGTAGTAACATATTTGGATAAGATGCAGGGATGCGTTGGATGCAAATGGATTTTGACAGACACAAAAATACTTCCTGGTTTGGAATCTATGCCTCTACACTTCATGATTGAATTATGACCCTAATAAGTGGCCTATACATAAATACAGTGCTGAATATAGGTCAACAAGATACTAGTGTGCATATAAATGTAATAATTGAAGCAGAATACTCATTATGAAAAATCAGATGAATAATTTTTTTCCCATGGGGAGATCCCAATGGAGGGTGTATAAGGTCCTTTAGTATGTATGTTGCTCCTAATATTAAAATTGCAGTCTCCTAATTTGGCCACGTGGGTTCCTTGTTAAGTGGAACAGAGTCGGGAGAGGGCAGGAATATGAGTGTTGGGGACAGGATCTCAGATGTCAACAAAATGAACAGTATGCTTTATTCTAATGCAACATTTTATTTGTCTTCTTCAGGAAAGTCTCACATCGCATTTGTACAGAGAGTAAACAATGAAGGAGAGGGTGACCCATTCTATGAAACTATTGGAATCGTCACTCTGGAGGATGTCATCGAGGAAATTATCCAATCAGAGATCGTGGATGAAACAGATACTGTCAGTAAGTAATCTTGAATTTTGAGTTTCTCTTAACGAAATTTGGTTTTATTTCTTTTTAGAGATGTTAGATGTTTGTTGTAAGATTTGTTTATATGATTTACTTCATGCAGATGTTAGTTGATGTATACTTGAGAAACCATTTAGAACTGGTTCAGTTTTGGGCACTTATCTAAATAAATGTCATTTTTGCATAACAATATCAGGAAAACTACTTTCGCCAGATTCACTTCAAATTTGAACAGGTGTTATTTGGTATCCAGGTCTAATATTGAATAACTTGTTTGTTAATTGCTTAATATAATAACTGGTCCCTGCTTCAGAGGTGTTGTTTCAGTGATCTAGGGTCTCAGTTGGGAACAAAAATACTGTATGTTGGTTCATTTGATAAAAATTTATGCATTTTTCTTTTTTTTATTTTAACCGTAAAACTCTGTACAAAGTTTACAAACACAATTTTTTTTACGATATTTGAATTGAGAACTAAAGTAGTTTAGGTGTTTCACTCCTCATCTTTGAAGAGCTCGCTCCTACCAGAAATCACAAAGCATAAGTCATAAGTACAATAGTGATTATACTGCTGATCATGTAGTCTATTCTGGGCCTAGCCAAGGGAGCATATTTGGCAGCAAAATTAACTCAGTCAATCAGAATCACAATTATACAGTAAAACTTGTTAAATCCAAACACCACTGGGACCTCTCAATAGTGTTTGGATTAGCAGGTGTTCACATTTAATGGTGCCTGGATATATATGTTTGAACATGTACCTTAGTCAAGAAGAATACTTGGGGATATTTCTTGCATTTTTTGAGTTTGTTAAGTTTGCTTTACAAGTTTCCAGCAATCAAAAATTTTAGACCCAAGTTGCAATTTTCCCATCTGAAGCTAAATGTTCCAAACTGACCACTTTTCCAAAAGTTTGTCCTATGGCATTTCGACCCTGCTCAGTGGTGTGATCTCGCTGTCTTATTTTATTTTGCCACACTATAAGTGCAAGATTGTTATGTCAGCCTGGGTAATTATTTCAGTTAAAGTTACTGGAATAATCAAGCATGTAATCTTGCAGTTTGAGAATAATATTTTCATACTCATTAGTTTCATTGCTTCTATTGGGAAATCAGTTATTGATGACCCTAGTTCATTGTTATGGCCTATCAAATGAGTGGAATAATAATTTTAGTTGAACAATAGCATGTTTGATTCTTGTCATTGTGTCATAGAAAAATAGCTTGTTGATTCTTGTCAGTGTATACCCTAGGAGATGTTTAAAATTTACCTTATTTTTAGACGTGTCCTAGGGATTGGAGGTCGTCTGATCAAAATTACAATGGGATATATTATGCTCCAGGGAGCATATTAATATTCTTGCCCATGGATGGTTAAAGTGGTTATAAAGCAATTATAAAATTATTTTATTGTAACAAGCTTGTCGAAATGAGGTCAAACCTCACTTTCTTACTGTATAAAAGTGAATACACTGAAGGGATCCAGAAACTAACAAGGGGGCAAATTTTGAGTCAACAAGGCAAAACATTTTGAAAATTTAAGGCCCATTTTTTGATATTACGCCAAATTATGCATAAAAAGGCCCATTTTTTGAGGCCCTACTAAAGTTTTGGGGCCCTATAAAAAATTTCTGGGCCCACAAAAGGGGGGGGGAGGGGTCCAGGCCCCCTGGATCCACCAGTGGAATGTATTTCTTTCACAAGGCTGATAATGTTATTTTGAAATTTTGCACATGTAGTTTTTTAATTCCTTTCCTATTGGTTTGTGTATTAATTTTTTTCTATTAAAACTCAAATATATTAAATTGGTACGAAATGTACCATTTTTTCTTCATAATTCTATTTTAAATTCAATAAGATAAGATAAAAAGTGGTTTTGGCATTATGAAAAAAAATCTTTAAAAAAAATTATTTTAATATTAACATTGTTATCTACTAACTGAATTTTATACTGTTATCTACTGAATTTTATATTTTTAATCAATCGAAGGTCGTCAAATGAATTATTGAACGGTAAATCACCCTGAGTCTTATCTCTTATGTCATCAGATATTAGTCTCTCTCATAATATAAGTTATACAAACCTGGAGAGTTCTATTATAGGGACTTGTTATACCTACTATTGCATGCTTGCTTGGACTGACGCTCGTTTCAGAAAGAAATTGTTAATTTTACCACCAAGATGTCGAAACAAATTACCCACACTCATCACTCATTTGTTTATTGAGCCTTTGGTCTGTTTGCATGTTTTTTGGATGTTGAACAATTTGGCTAGGTGGCGGTTAAAAAAGCATATTTCATGCAAGGTGAGATATACCAGTGAAATCCTAGCTTATGCCTCTGGGGTTAGCTGACAGAAAAATCAATAAACTGATGTAATTCATGAGATGTTCTAGTATACGCTAAATTGCTACTCTCCATTCGCAATCTCATTGCTGTCTAAGTGGCCGTCACAAGAACTTAACCGTTACTTACATCTTGGTAGGCATTTTGTGTGGCAAACTGTCTCCTAAGCATTGAAATATCTGAGATGTTATTCCAGTTTTTTGAGAATTTGGAAATCACATTGTTCGTTCTTAGGGGCCGGGTCAGTATTTCAATGTCCACCAAAATCATTAAGTACATTAGGGGGGGGGGGGGGGTTGGCATGAAGATCGAACTAAATTAATTGCATTTTTTGACAGACATCAAAATATTCACCCTGCCACTTTGTTTGTCTCTGAGAAAAGGAATTTTTTTTAGAATATTTGCTCTCAAAATTAGGGTATATTTTTTTTTATGTTACCAGCATTTTTGGGTCACTGGTGACATAATATCGTTATAGTTTTTTTCTGGCTTGCATTTGACTACCTGGTAAATTTTGGAGTGGGTTGAGAATATCTTTGTAATAATACAGGACATTAAGGATATATTTAAAGGTCTTAAAATGAATATTCATGTTCTTATTACAAGATCAATATTTTACCCCTCTTTCATTTTAATAATAATTTGACATATGTATTCATATAGTAATCAATTCAAACTAGTCCTTAACTGGACACCATTTGGAAAGTCTAAGACAAAAAGGGCGCAGGAATCGTGATGTTTAATAATCAATTTAATGAGAAAACATTCCAGTTATTATAGTAATGAAAGATATATATAGAGGATATCCTATGATTTATGAGTGATATGATTTTTATCCACGAATGGATATGATATCTGCACGAGCGAGCGTAGCGAGAGAGTGCAGATATCAATATCCATGAGTGGATTAAAATCATATCACGAGTAAATCATAGGATGTTCTTTTTATTCCATAGTTAAAGTCATCATCAGAATCGTAGGAAATTAAGTTATTTAATTCGAATTTCCAAACGATCCGGCGATGTTGACACTTAGCCTCGTTTTGAGTCTGAAGTAGCAAAAATCCATAAACCATCGCATACGACGTCGTATGTCATGGCTAAAAAACCGTATGTTATGGTTAAGTGAAAATTTGTCAAAAATATCATATTTTACCACTGATTACAAAAATACCGTTTTTATTTTCACATGTCATCCTATGAATATCATGCTAACTATGGAATAAACTGGTTTATTTAAGTTTTTTTAACTATTAAATATTTTATTACTATTTTGATATTTTGTTTGTATAGGTGCCCCAAATGCGTACAATCCTAAAAATATTTTGGGCGGGTTCTCAAGATTTCTCAAAATTATATTGAAAAATCAGATGGATGAAAATTGAGTACGCTTGGTTTTTAGATTAATAATTATCCTAGGTTTTATTTGAGGATAAAAGTTCTGTTAATAATCAATTATTTATTTACATTAAGTTATAAATATTGGAATGAAAAGTGTTGAAGAAAGATCGTTTACATAAATCTTTTGTGTATAACTAAAACTCCTCTTTTATGATAACTCAAACATAACCCTTTAATATTTTTCAGTGGATAACATCAAAAAGGCCCCGAGGCAGAACATGTTCCAGAACAAGGATTTCTCCGTGTTTAACCAACCAGATTCCTTAGATGCTGCGAGAGTTAACATCTCTCCTCAGTTGGCCCTGGCAACAGTGCAGTTCCTAACAACTGGTACACGCATACATTTTTTAATCATGTCTTTCCTTGTTTTGTTCTAGTAAATAGTATTTACTATTATATAACAGATTTGAATGAATATTCTGTTCTCAATTGTTTTACTAATGATCTGTTACATATCTGACAAATTTATTCTAAAACTTTATTATCCCATCGAACGAAGTTCGGAGGGATATAGGGAACGCCTCCGTCCGTCCGTCCGTCCGTCCGTCCGTACGTCCGTACGTACGTCCGTCCGTCCGTCTGTCCGTCCGTCCGTCCGTCCGGGCAGTAACTCAAATACCGTTGGCCCGATTTTGTTCATATTTTGTACACATATACTCTATGGGGGTAGAAGTTCTGCTCGAAAGCCGATTTTCAAAATGGCCACTCATTTCAAAATGGCGGCCATTTTAGTGCCGATTTTACAGTTATTTAGGTGCAATATGTAAAACTGTAATAGCAGTATGTTTTTAATGTAAAAAAATTATAAAGGACATTAATAAAGCTACAAATGTAGATATTAAAAAAGCACATGGCAGCCATCTTGAAAATTTGCGGCCTTTACTCGTTATTTTACCATTTTTGCTGTAACTCGAAAAGTAGTGGAGCGATTTTGTTCATATTTGGTATGTGAATACTTTAAACATTGCACACTGTCTAAAGACACTTTTGGTAGAAGGCGGCCATTTTGAAATTTTTTTGAAAAATGGCCGCCATTTTAACGTGTTTTACTATAACTCGAAAAGTAGTGAAGCGATTTTGTTCATATTTGGTATGTGAATACTATAAGCATGGCACACTGTCTAATGACACTTTTGGTAGAAGGTGGCCATTTTGAAAAATGGCCGCCATTTTAACGTATTTTACAATAACTCGAAAAGTAGTGGAGCGATTTCGTTTATATTTGGTATGTGAATACTAAAAGCATGGCATACTGTCTAATGACACTTTTGGTAGAAGGTGGCCATTTAGAAAAATGGCCCCATTTTAACGTTTTGTACTATAACTTGAAAAGTAGTTCAGTGATTTTGTTCATATTTGGTATGTTTCATATTTTATATGTGAATACTAAAAGCATGGCGCACTGTCTAATGACACTTTGGGTAGTAGGCGGCCACTTTGAAAAATGGCCACCATTTTTACGTTTTTTACTATAACTTGAAAAGTAGTGAAGCAATTTTGTTCATATTTGATATCTGAATACTCATGAGCCTTGCACACTGTCTTATGACACTTTGGAAAGTAGGCGGCTATTTTAAAAAGTGGCTGTCATTTTTACATTTTTTACTAAAACTCGAAAAGTAGTGGAGCGATTTTGTTCATATTTGATATGTGAATACTCTAAGCATGGCACATTGTCTAATAAAACTTTGGGGAGTAGTCGGCCATTTTGAAAAATGGCCACCATTTTTATGTGTGTTATTTTACAAGTACACGTGTGTGATTTTTCAAAAATTTTATAGGTGGCTACTTAAAAGCATATTATTTCTTCTGATGACAACTTGGCGAGTGAGCAACCATTTTGAAAATGGTAGCCTTTCTGGTTTGTTGTTTTATAATATTTGCTATATATTTCGTTTGTAAAAATGCCAGCCATTTCTGTTCGATGGGATTCGCTACGCTTTGGCGTTGCCGTTGTTCTGGTTTTACATACATTACACCCCCAAAATGCAATCTGATTTTCGACGCCGTTTCGGTACCAAATTTCAATGCCGTTTCGGCACCAAATGAGTCCGGTAGCAAATTTTGGTGTCGAAAGGTTTAGGTGCCGGAATGGTGTTGAAACGGTGCCGGAACGGGTGCCGAATTTGTTCGATGCCGAAACGGTGTCGAATTATATTGGCTGTGTACTGGTATATGTTCACAGTGCTACCATTTATATACATTTGTATTTTGATTAATTTATTCAGGTGAAGTTAAATTTAACTTTCTATTATGATTTGCAGTCATTGAGCCATTCAAAGTTGAGTTGATATCAGAGACGGTGACGACACGTCTCATCAAACAAAACGTCATCTTTAACCTAAAGATAAACAGTCCAGAAGTGGAAGATAACCAGGAGAAAAAGTTTCTCTATAATCGTGGACAATCGTGCGATTATTTCATTCTGATCTTACAAGGACGTGTTGAGGTTATGATCGGAAACGATAATATGGTCTTTGAAGGGGGTCCTTTCACATACTATGGCTGTCAGGCCCTGCAAGGTATGTCATTTGATGTTGAGATTTGTGATTTGATAATCAGATCAATGCGTTCTCATTAATATGGAAACAAAAAGGAAATGGAGACATTTTTGAGACACCAATTACTCTCTGGTGGTAAAATGCCATAAATACCTCAAAGACAAGGTAAATTAGACACATCATCATTCTGTAAATTAAGTAAATGGAGAAAATCCTCATGAGACTCTTGGCTATTGATATGGCTCAACTAGCATTGTTCTTTCTTTTGAATTATAGATAGAAATAATATTTTTGAAGAGGAAAATGTCTGCATTTCGTGGTATTTTAATGAGAAAGCATTATCTCAGTATTATATATAGTTTAATATATAAAGTTAACACACTGCTAAAATCAGGGATCCTAACATGCATATACATATTGAATACAATATGTACTTATGATATAAGTCTCATAATAACATACTAGTAACTACATGTATATAGCATGAAATAAAAGTAACCTTTTGAAATTGGAAACTGTTTTAACTCAAGCAAGGAACTAAATTAAATATGCTTGTGGTATCCCTAGCAAATGTGTGAACTTTGAGTACAGCTTGCTATTTAACTCTCTGTTGTATTGGACATGTGTCTATTTGTATTATATAGTATTATATGTTGTCACAGAGTAGACTGAGAAATCTATAATTGCGAGAAAGTAATTACTCAGAATATATAACATAACTGTAATAGAATCTAATAATATTGATTTGATATTTGTACTTTCTTGCTCTGAAAACTGGTCATTTAAAATTGATTCAAGGTTTTCTTTTGACAGTTCAATATCTGCTTACATGAATTTGTTTAGAGTATCCTCGTTCCGAGTTTAAGCGGTCCATAGGTCACCTCTTGTTAGGCCATGGGTCATTAAGTCGTGGCTCAGAAGGTCACAGTTCACTTAGTCATGGCTCTATTGGTCATGGGCTCCTGGGCCGTGGCTCTTTAGGCCGATTGTTTGGGATCGATAAACCCAGTGGTGAGCCATTTGTGCTATATGTGTGATAGATGTTTCCCAAAGTTGGGTTTTTCCCCGAGTGTGTTTTGATGCCATCTGACGTCATATTTTTATTGAAGCATGATGGAATGGTGTTATATTTTGTTTAACACAGTATATTAACCTGATCACATCGTAAACTTGTCTAACATTGACATGTTCACCCCCACCCCCTGGTCCATTATTTGGAACTAATATATTCAAATAAGGAAGATAATCTACAAGACATAATCCATTTTTATTTGGAACCCTGAAAATATAGATTTAATGATTACGTCTCATTCACTTCTGAGTTTGTGACGTCAATGGATAAGCTATTAAGCTCTACTGGGTTCTTCCGAGGATTTATGTATTTGTAATTAGCATGCAATATCCAGATAAAATATATAAGGGTTTATTCATTGAATCGTGTTAGCACTTCAAAGAGGTTGGCTTTAATGTCGGTATCTGAACTGTGTATTAATAAATCTCATAAACATAATCATATTAAGAAGACGTAGTCTTGCTTCAAGACCCTGGATCCCCCCCCCCTTATCTACTTCAACAACTGTTGTTGAAGTTGATTGACAGTGGATTGAAGCAAGACTAAGGAAGACATTGATATTTTTAAACTATGGTTCACACTTTGTAGATGATTTAAAAAGGTCTATTTGAATCAAGTTGAAAAAGACGTTTTTGAGGGTTTGAGTCACTTTAAAGGCCCATGTTTTCAAGGTCAAGAGTCGAGGTCAGAATGTCATCAATGAATTATCTAATTTCTTCATAGCAGCAAAGAAATACCACAAAGTTATAATTTCATTAACACAGAGTATCGTGTTCTCTTAATAATAAATATAGATTTGTCTGCATTTATCATATTGGAGCAAAAATGTCGTAGTGACTTCTCTTGTAATCCATTGAGGTATTGTATAAGCCAGGGGAATATGTAATTTAACCCTTGCAATTCAAAGAAAATATATATTTAACCCTTGCTATTAATAATAGGGTATTTGCAGTTTATATGGAGCCAGGGGAAATATATCATTGCCCGTGAAGTGGAATTTTTTTTAAGTCACCCCTCGGCAAAAGCTGGCTACGGACCTGAAATTGAATAATTATTAAGTGAACATTTCTGGTTTCTTTTACCCAAAATGTGAACATGTCCAAGCAGTCCTCTCAAGCAGGTTTTAATGTTCAGAAAAATCAGTGGAGATAGAAAACAATGGAAATTTGATTTTTCTGATATATTTGTTAATACTTGGTCATTCCTTGATATTTTTTTAACTTTGTGAAGGGAGATGGGCGCTTATTAGAGAGTAGGTGCTAATTACAGAGAATACGGTAATTCAATATAACTGAATCCATTTAGAATACAGGAATGTAGATCATGCCTAAATCTCATGATGTTTTCCATCCTCACTGAGAATTATTTCTTTGTGATCGTGATGAGGAAGTTTCTCAGCTGATAAGGAGGAAACATGTCTCCCTAAATTATATGTAAGGAACACTTGATTCATTATCTCTTGTTAGTGAATGAGGTTTATCCTTCAGTACAGGCATCTTCACAGTCTTAGTCTACATGGTACATCCAGTTTAATTTTAAACCTGGTAAATTACTCAATGCTTATATCTTATCCAAAAATAAACCAAATTAGATTTCTTAGATGACCTGCAACTTTCATCATCAACAGAATTGAATTCGAACTTTATTTTCTGTAAATACTCAAGCCTAAATCCTTCGTAAGTGAATTGACATTTGTTCTATTACTAATTAAAAAATTTCTCAAAATATAAAAAAGCATGTTTGTAAGAAAGTCTACCATTGGTGCAATTTATAGGTTGCTCTGATTCTTTTTAAACTTTGGTGTAAAAGGATCCGAAATAGACTCCAAGGCCCCTCAAGATTGAACAATTAGTGAAAAGTTTCAATTTTTCTCTCTACAAGCCTCGTTGCCACTTTAATCTACTGGAGATTTGTGCTGATGTTCGCCTTATTGCATGCTCAGGATCCATAGTTGCACTGGTGAATATCCCAGTACAGTATTGATAGATGGCTTATAAATGGCTTGGGTTCCTTGAATAATCAATGTCTTCATTTGTTTATATTTCAAAGATAAATCTCTTTGCTTGAATTCTAACATCATGACAGAATTTGAAATTAACAGTTGCCTCATTGCCCCATGGCAATCATTTAACTCTGGCAGTGGATCTGAAGAGACTGGTTGTCTATTGGGCAGTGGTCTGATTGCCAGTGTGGTTAATAGTGACAATCATGTTTTCAACCTTGGAGCAACCCTGCATCTTGAATTTCATGTGTGTGTTGTTGACACTGATACAGTTAATCTCTGTATCATGATGTATCCTACACATAGAGCATGCAAAATGCATGGAGGGGTTGTATGATATTTGCGAATTTTCAAAAGTTTACAAATAAAACATCAAACATAGAGTTTTGTTGAATTTTCTTGCAAAAATCACATAATTTCCTTCGCATATGTTGTCCATTTTATGGGCATGTAAAAGCATGTTCAGCTGAGTTGAGTTGAGCTATTGACAGTCAATGTTTTGTAAATATTCTATTTTGTGAGTTTATCAATTCGGATAATTTAATCTGACTGGTTTGGATTATGCAAAATATTTGAATATATTGTGACATTTGAGGTTAGTTTTCTCGATACACTTTACAGCATTATGTTTATCCAGATACAGGGGTTTCATAAGCACCAGGCAACAGGCAATTTTCACCAGTTGTTTTCACAAAATCGCCTGTTGTTTTTAGGAGCTTTTTTACTTTCCCATGTTCAATTTATGATTTCCATTAATAATTGCCTGTTGTGGGAAATTCTACTGAAACCCCTGAGATACTATTACTTAAACTTCCTAATGCTATTGACATTTTAATATTGTTTTTTTGTAAATTGTCATCTCAACTCCACTACAGTCTAAGACACTTCCCCAAGAATGCATGGCTAATTTAGTAATTGACTCATGTTAATAACAAAGCCATTTCTTGAGTCTCTGTCTTAGACTGACTACTGAATGTTATACTGTTCATCTAACTAGCATGCATGTCAGTCTATTTGACTCTGAATGTTTGTAACATACAGGTACCATTGATGTTCCTCTTCGACTGAATGGTATGTACTGTACTAATAACACAATATCTATCTTTAGTATATATAGAGAGGTCCTAGTTCTTATTGGTTTCAATTAATTATGGGAAGGAGAATATTTTATATTCATGTATTCCATTTTAGTCTCTGACTAAACTGCCTCAGAGATTAATTTGCCTTATTTTGGAGATCTTATCTCATTTTCATGAATTTTCTGTGACTGGGGTTGATGTGTATTTTTGTAAAAATAAAAAAATCCTTAATATTGTAGGGACCTGGTGTTTAGCCAATGTTCATACTCCTAATTAAATGGAATATATGTATTTTGACAACTTATGATAAAATGATTGGCCATCTTGGTTGTGATAAAACCAATAACCATCTAGGACCTCTGTACTTTTACCCCTACTTAACAATCTGCATCATACACATTTATTCAAGTATTTACCACTTTTTAACTCCCCGTTATCCTTTCCACATTATTGTGTTTCAGTAGTATGATCCACATGCTTAAAAGATTATTGGGAATTTGAAAGTGGTCAATATAATTATAATTATTGCACAGTATCAGCTATCTATTTGCTGGTTATTAAACAAGTTATTAGACGTTTTTCTAATGATTATTAATACCATATACTGTACATATACTTCCTGTTTTTCCACAGTTAAGCTTATTACTACCTATATATATCACACACTCCTACGCTAGTTAACCTATAGTTATAGAATACATCTAACCCATTAACAAGTGTTTTAATTGGAATTAGCTTAATTTAGTATTGTGTTTGGTACCAATCTATTATATTTTGATCAGTAATCCGAGAGTGTCCTTTGAGGAATGTTATGTTTTTTTGAAAAGTGTGGTAATGATAATACACCTATATGGATTTTACATGTTATTATTAACATACACTACTTCTATAATTAGTTATTGTTTTATAAAACTCAGGTAAAATTATTCTATAATTAGTTATTATTTGATTATTTGAATCCTGTAAAATTATTCTATAATTAGTTATTATTTGATAAAACTCCTGTAAAATTATTCTATAATTAGTTATTATTTGATTATTTGAATCCCGTAAAATTATTCTATAATTAGTTATTATTTGATAAAACTCCTGTAAAATTATTCTATAATTAGTTATTATTTGATAAAATAAAACTCCTGTAAAATTGTTCTATAATTATTTATTATTTGAAAAAACTCTGTAAAATTATAGGTACATGAACCTGTAATTGACATTATATATGGCATATAGTATGAACTTTCTTTTATTTTCAAAAAATGAGGACAGACTTCAGATGATGTCTATTACAGGCATTGTATTGTGTATTCTCTATTAAACACACACTGCATCTCTCAAAGTCTTCCCCAGGAGATATTTCATAACAACATCTGGATTTAGAATTTAGATAATGTTGAATCAAAGCACCGTTGTTTAAGTGACAGTTTACTCTTGGAGCTGTTGTTACATTTATATGTACTCCCATCTGCCGAAAATAAGTGCACTAACACGGGGTATTGATTTAGAATTCCACGTTTACATAAGCTTAGTCCTTACATGGTGGCAAATGGACGAGGCATTATGGCTATCTTTCAATATTTTTTTCTAATATAAGAGAATAACCAAACCTCGATTTACTATAGGCATTGGGCTCCATGTTAAGCTTTAAAGTACTTTCATATTGCCTTGTTAGCTAATACATATTGCCCCATGCCTGAAAGCTATGTTACCACTGGGAGCCTTGTTGGTATCATGAGACATGGTGAGGACCTGTCTAATGGGCCTTGAGTTATTATATTACTTTATAAAGCTATCACGCAAGTCAAAACTGATAACATAGGCAAAGTCTAAATAGATATGGGTTTTCATCAAATATCCCTAATCTTCTATGTAATTTATCTATGATTTTAATGACTCCTGAACTTTTTATCTTATTTATTCATTATTAAGTCTTTTTAGTCACCTTCTAAATTTTCTTCTTTCTTGTATCTGGATTAAACATCCATATGACTGTTATTTTTATATGAACTGATTTCTTTCAATTGAAATTAAGAATTAACCCAAGGCTTCTTTATATCATTCAAATAACTCAAACCAGTTGTCTATGGGCTGTTTACGCAATACAAATTGAATAATATAATAGTTGTAAGTACTTCTCTTTTAACTCTTACATCAATGGTAGGATTAAAAGAAAATATCTTATAATGTTTATAATATATATATACAAGATGTACGTTAGTAATCTGAATGGAGAATACCATGGTGACATTGCTGTGACAAAGTCATTTGTGAACCAATCAGATTACAGAGTTGTATGTTATAAGTATACATAATATCTCAAAAACTGTATAATGAAACTGTTTTTCCCATTGCAGCCCTGCCAGCCAATCTTAACCAAACCAACAACATCCATGGTAGTACAGACAGTCTGTATCGTCCCAAACAGTCCTACATCCCCGACTTCACCGTTAAAGCCACCTCAGATCTACAGTACCTGAAGGTCAAACGGTCCCACTACATAGCTGCACGTCGTGCTACCCTCATGGAACGTACACCCAAGACACCCGAGGTTCAAATCACAGATGAGGATCAGTTCGCGAAGGAATGGCAACGTGCGACAAGTCTTGACCCGGATAAGCCAACTATCAATAATATTGATAAGCTTGCTATGCCTGCTAATAGTGTATCTATGAATGATATAGATTTGGTCACCAAGGAGAAGCATGAGAATGGTAAGCCAAATGATGTGAAACGTGGACGCGGTAACGCATCAGAGAGTGCAGAGGATGACAAGGCAGATGCTCCTTTGCTCTCTAGAAGGACTAGTGAACCCTCACTGAATAAGAAAGATTCAGAATGCTGACGGCAGCTCACATACGCGAAGATATAGTGCAAAAGAAATAGCGATACCAAAAGTACAAGAATGCTTACTGATTGACATTTTTGTAAAATATTCATATATAATCAGTAGATCTATTAGATTTTTTCATTGCTTCCCGTATTAGCGTGGTGGAATACACACTACCATGTGTAGTGTAGCTTGCACCATGAGTGATGTGTACTGCATTATGTGTAGTCTGTACAGTATTACATGACATAATAAAATCTACCTTGTACCTTCACTCTACTATACCTTACATTTGGTGTTCATGAGCAACCCATTTGACTTATTAGTAATAATTACATTATTTGTTTTTATTTGGCTGTTCCTTATTAATGGTTTATCTGTTGACAGTTAGATGTTAATAAGGTACTTTCAAAAATATATTAAACAATGCAATGAGACAAACAGAGTATCTTATGCATTTCTAGGGGTTAGGTATAGTAGAGTGACCTTGCAGTCAACTTTTTCTTATGGATATTTTGTAATTCTTGAAATTGTCAAAGTTACAGGGTGTTCCAAAAGTAACAGGACTGGTACTGGCATTTTGTCAATTTGAACACCCTTTATATTACAAGAAAATTCTTAATGTATTATTATCTCACATGCCTCAACCTTCAAACATTTTGATATTTCTGTCATTTTTTCATGTGAAATATGAATATTTTGGTGTTTTTATCAGAATTTATTCAAATAAAGAATAGTTATTGTTTATGGAGAATTGACTGGTTTGAAGGTTCAGGTGCCTCAAATATGGCAGCCATATTTTAAATTGCAATCATATACAAATATCTTATTCTGTATGTACAGTATCCTTTAAACAATGCAAGAAATAAGCTAGTATAGACGTTTCAATGTTAAATGCACAATTGGTTGATCGATTCAGTATTTTTAGGACAGGACTTATACCTGCACAGTCATTAGATTATATGTTCAATCAGGTAATTAATCAAGTTAATGAGCTGAATGTGGGCGTAATCTTTCAAGAATCAACTCTGATATTGAGAAGGCAAAGAAAAATTTGGTAAGAATGACTGGATCCAAATGTATACATGTATTCTGGATCCGATTGTATACACATATTCAGTGCAAGTGTTTAGTACAAGTCTATAATGTAAAAAGTTGCATAGCTAGTGTATAGACTAATATTACTTGATATATTCAGAGTTGAGGTGATTTTTTAGGATACAAGTTGGTAGTGTTAATACAGAGTAATATATAAGACACATTCTATTAGCCTTCTGTGGGGTCTCTTGAATTTGATAGCATAAAGCTGCAACAATTCCAGACCTGTAGCCAGGGGGGGAGGGGTTAGGGGGTGCAAGCAAGCATTTGGATTGCTTTTTGGGGTCAGGATTATATGTACTGCAATCTTTGGAATTTTATGCATCTTAATCTTTAAAAGGTACCAATCATACTATAAGTTATTGAATGATTTGAAGTGCAATACTGGATATATTCTGTTCGAGAAATTTTGTATTGAAACAAGACGAAGTCGAGTGCCAATACAGAATATGGAGACAGAATATATCCTGTATTGCACTTCAGATCATTCAAAAACGTTTTTATCGTGTAATCCTCTGTATTGCTACTGAGATTGTCCCCTGCGTACCAATATTTTCTGTATTGCGACGGAGATGATCAACGGGGACAACCTCAGTAGCAATACAGATTGGTACAGCGCAAGAACTGACCAATCAGAGGACTTCATTTTACGGATCATACGATAAATGTATATATTGGCTGAGATCATTTTGAATGCACTGTTCATACTAAGAGAACACACAGAAGTTTAATAAAAGGTTGGTGGAAAGTGTAGAAGTGTACATAGCAAATGAGACAGGCCCGTAGCCAGAATTTTCCAAGGGGGGTTCGTTTTTCTAAAAAGTTCTAGGGGGGGGTTCACTTTGGCAAATATGGCCAAAAATCTCTCCAAAAGTAGTCAGAATGGTGAAAAACTGCATCATTTTGAAAGAAATTTTGGCCAGGGGGGGGGGTTCGCCTGAACCCCCCGAACCCCCCCTGGCTACGGGCCTGTGAGATACATGACAAAGAATTTTGGATGTAATATCAGGGGCAGATTGTAAGATATTGGGCCCTGAACTTTTAAGGTCAGTTAGTATTCAGGGCCAGTATTTAGATTTTGATCAATCAAATTTGATATCTGAAAAAATATATTGAATTTTGATAGTTTGGGTTCAATTCCTTTTTCTATTAATTTTGAGTAAATTCAAATTCAATTTAAAATTGTTTAAAATTGTTAATAATATCAAATGAAAATGCGCAATTGCCTAATTTTATCTGACATCATATACTGTAAGTTAATAAAAGAAATGTACATGTATTTTGAAGAAAAACATTTGAGGCTGAAAATGTTAGGTCCCCAAAATCTGAAAGTTGTCTGCCCCTTGGTATAGATGTACTTATAGTTATAGTCATAATGCATGATTAGTATACGGGTGATTTTATTAATATGTCATATAAACATATAGTCAAGAAATCACTAGATTTAGCTGTGATTGTAAAAGATCTCTTCTGAGGATAGACAGCATGCAAGTTTGAATGGATACCATTCAAATTTGAATAGATGAAATGCAAGTGTGAATAGATGACATGCAAGTTTGATTGCACAACGTGCAAGTTTGAATCTGAGAGTTGATGTAATGGACAACTGCTGTTAAAGTTCTTCTATTCAAGTTCAGTTCTTAAATTAGTTTTAAGTTCATTTCATATTTATAATTTCCTTTATTTCCTCTTCTTATTATAATTATAAATTGTTTCCTTTTTGGTCATTTTTAGATTTTATTTTACAGTGTTGTGATATTTAACAGGTTGATTTCATTTAGATGACATTATGTTTAACTTGAATCAAAAGAGATAAAAACTGTAAAAAAATGAGTGGTCGTCTTATATTATGAATTATGATATATTTATGACTTAATGATGTTTTATTTAATGTTTAGTTACAGTAATCATATGGGCTTAACATTTTACATGTATGTACTGTAATTGTAATGAGAAGTATTTGAGTTCAATTGAGAAACATATCCAAGTCAATTATATCTGACTTTGCAGTTCTTGTTCCTTGTAAAGATTTTGATGTTCAATTCTGCCAATAAAACTTGGTGCTGCTATTTGTTGATAATGGATGTCATGGTAATAGGATCCTTTTGATTGTTTTAATGCATTATTGTCATGACGATGATGTCATGATATCTTTTGATTTTGGCACAAGTGTCTATTGTATTTTGTAGTATTTTTACATACTAGAATCATATAATGAGAAGTTCAATATAGTGTAAATTTTCAAATTTGGCGTTCTTTGCTATAACATGTAGATCTTTTATAGGACAGATATTGGAGAATGACAAGTTCACTGGGTGAGATATGAAAATTATTTCATAAGATATTTTTTGAGAGATTAGGAAAGATCATGTTAAGTTGGGAGACTTCCCACCATTAAGCAATTCAGTGTGGGTTAGAGTTGCATATAATTCAAGTTACATTCAAATTAAAATAGATGGCGATTGTGACTTAATAGATGTTGCCATACACAGTCTGCTATTTGTTGATTTGAAGCGAAAAATATGAGGATTGATTGAAGACAGCTAATTTTCTGTGATATTGTAGAGATAATTTGCTATCAGTATATCCAATAAAGAAAGATAAAAATATATAACTGAGTTTGTGCATTCTGTTACTCATAGCATTTTCTGTTTCACCTGAAACATGCTAGAGGACTGTGGAGAAATGAGATGTCATGGTTTATCATGATGGAGTTTGTCTCACATTTGAAAAGGATATTTACACAGTATTCAGTGAGTGATACTTTGTCCACTGTACTGTCAACTCACTATCAATTTGTTCTTGGTATCCTTAGTTTTATCTGATTTTGTGTCTCCAGCAGAATTCCAGCAATATAAACAATTTTCCCTGAATGCATAATCAATGCTCAACCATAGATGATAGAAACACATAGAAGGCACTTTTCAGTTCTGGGCTGTTTATTTATATATTTTAGAATTGTTTTATGAATTTTGGTGTCACAGCTTTACTGGATTACTTCATGCGTTTGTTACATTCTATCACAAAACATATAGAAATGAAAATAACAAATCCACACACATTAATTTTATCTCATAGTATAATTTTAGAAACACACTTTAAAACAATACTCACATGTTATCCAAATGAAAGCTCAATAACTAGGCATACATATGAGACCTAATATGACTGAATCAATGTTTGTTTCTTAATTATGAGATCTCTACAAAGTACAGTAATAGACTAGATGCGAGTAGAAATAATCTTGATTTACGTCATTAAATATTCAAAATTCAGTCAAAGTGATGTCATATTTGAAATCTGCATGTAAAAGTACATCTAGAAATATGGTTTCGAAAATTGTCTATCAACTTTGAAAATTTAATTCTTTTTGAAAATGTGACTTCTTGTTCGGGTTGATTCCCCATACACCCCATGTTACAAAACCACAAAAAGTGAGATAACATTTTCTTTTACTGGACATATTTTAATTTGAATAACTATTAGATACATACGGGTTATGTGAAAATTGAACCACGCAAATAGACGTAATTTAAGTTAAAGGGAACTTTCTACTATACCCGCCATGCTATCTGACCCTAACGAGCCACCTGGTGGTGAATCTGGTAACTACCTACTCGCATCTGCGTTATTCAGAAACTCAAATCTAATGTGTTTTAAGAGATCACAAAATTCAAGATATGTGTCAAGAAAAACACAATGGCAATCTAAATCTTAATTTTGAGATCTCTTCCAAGTTTGGATTTATTATATCATTTTTTATATTTAAGGATTTGGGAAATCATATTTTTTTATTTGTTGCCATATGGTCTTCTGTGGGGTTGTCATAATTTACTAGTTTAATACAACTTTGAGCCCAGTTGCAAATATAGTTTAGGGACAGTCATGAGTAGTTTTTAACCAATCAACCTATTAATTCAATGGGAGGTCTTCATTAAATAGATAAACAATGCCTCATCAACACAAAAGTCATGTTATTTCATAAATATTTATTTTAATAACATTTGATTTTTATATATTAAGCACAGTATGGTCTCATTTGATCTCATACCTTTACAAATTAAGTTTTTGGAACACACTTTTTGCACTTTTAATCATGATATAACTTTTGGAACACATTTTTGCACTTTTAATCATAAAACTTTTGGAACACACTTTGCATTTTGAATCAAATAACTTCACAATCTGATAACACGACATGGATCTTTTGGGCTATTATATATATTTGAGATGATAAAGAATATGTTGTTGGCAAGTGACTTGTATATGTTGCTTGCTATTTTTCACCCTTTTGTCTGATTCTGCCTTTAATACAGAATCTTATATTACGAATATAGAATCCTTTGACATTACTACGACACTGTTTGACAGATTACATATACTGTACATGTATTACTACAGATACAGGATTTTTGTGCAAAATTATTGCAAATTATAATAAAGGCCAATATACCAAATATACACAGCTGTTTATAGTTATACCTTGCATTATAATAAGAATATTAAATGAGCCAAGTCACAAGAATGAGTCACATCACATAATTTTTTGTAAAAAATATTTCACTGGCCTTTTAGAAATTCTAAAATTCGCTAAGTATTTCAAGGGCATTCTGAAGTTTTAAGGTCAGGGAAAACCAATTTCCCTATCAAGGTTGTACTAAATCTCCATCAGTTCTTTTGTTTCTAGCTTCCTTTTAGCTTTTGTCATCGGGTGTTTAGACAACACGTTTTCTTGTGATTTGGTACATTCTATGTTACAGGTATCAAGCAAAAATTACAAGCTTAAAAGACATACTCCACTTTTTGAGATATGCAACAATATAAATTACTTAATGAATTTCAAAAATGATACATAGTATGATAAAGACAGGCTAATACCCCTAATTTATTTTTATTTATTATGCATATTAAAACTTACTATACTGTTGTTAGTACAAGACTTGTTATAATCTATTAGTCTATCGTGCTCTGATATTATGTTATATTAATTCATTAAAATTCATATTTTGTTACTGGCCTTCAATAATCATCCAGAAAAGGGTATGTTTACTGCATAGTATTACAGATAGGGCTAAAACGAATAGAAAATATTCATACCAAATATTCAGTTAGCTATTGCCTGCCCAAGAATTCTGACAACTGCACTGAATGAAAATAAAAGTGTACTATACAATGATACTTGTACGTAATTATGTTAACTGCTGGGTTTTGGTATATTAATTAATTAAAATAAATGTCCATTGGTTTAAGCAAATATTCTATATTTCTCTGAAATGCAAAGTGATAGTAGAGAATTTCTAGCAATGATATTATAAAACAAATATTTCATTCTATGTTCGGGCAATACCTGTTGCACTTTCAATGATTTTTGAAGCATGTATTTCCCTCGCCCTATGGGCTGTGGGAAATATATACTGCAAAAATCATTGAAAGATGAAAGAATCTGACTATTCGTTTCACCCCTTCTTGCATCATAGAGGTAACATGGTTACTTGGGAAGTTGAAAATAATTGCACATTTTGCTAGACAGTCAATGACTCAGCATGAAATGAAATGTAAGGACAAACAAATACACATAATCATGTTAATATATTAATAATATACCCTATATAATAATAAATATATTTTACAATTTATCTATACAAAACTTAAATAACATATACCCCACTGTGGAAGTCATAACGTACTAATTGATTACATCACATTTTAATAATCAAAAGTAATGTGCTACCAGGCTTGAAAATTCAACTCAATTCTTATAAAAAATTGCAGCAATTTTTCAGATATATCGTGAATGACCTGGGAGTGTAACGCTGTAATGAGTATTGTTTTTGTTGTGGAAGCTTTGCATTGCATCAGTGGATTAGAAACCAGGGGTCCATTTGTGAAACTCAAAATTTGTTCCTAAATGGACAGATCATTGTTTCATGTGGCCAACTTTTGAATGAAAAAGATTAAACACATGAATGTGGGTCATACATTGAGACCGGTTTTTTAAAGTTTAGATCCACCAATGCAATGGCCCATTTTTCTATTGCTTGCTGTGAGGGATATCAGATCTAGGTTGCTCTCCTTGCTTTGAGTATTGGGGGAACTTTTCACCAGTCTCCTTTATACTCCTTTACTTATTTTGTTCTTTCCAATGGAGTTATGAATGCACAAAAATTAAAACATAAAAGGCCAACATAAAGTTTGAGCTTTGCTATGATCTAACAAAAAATACAAAGATATTACAATTCATCGGGAGAAAACTACAAAACTAAAATATTAAGCATTCTTTTTCTTGTCATGGAATCACTGCATATACATGTGCAGCTACAGTCAAGATTTTGTGAAGCAAAAATTACCCACAGCATCTTTAACTAAAACCAAACCCAATAAACCGTACCAATAAATCCTGCCAAATTTTGATAATCAGAGAAACTTTGATATATCGGCAAGCTTGATGATGTCATAGGTTGTATATTTTTTAGTTGATTCTGTTTTTACACAGTCAAATTTCTACTTTCAACCAATGACATCATCAATTCAGCCAATATATTGTAGTTTTTTCTGATGTATCAAAAGGGGCGGGATTTATCAGAACAATCAATCTGAATGTTATACATAAAACATCCAGTACATCACATTTGAAATAAAGTGAATTGAATTGAAAGTGTCTAACAACAATTTGGCTCTTAAAACAACTCGGAGCCTATTGCTAAAATCTTAGTATAGTATCTTCACTACACATGCTACCCTCTTGCCTTGTTAAAATTCCAAGCCATCTGCTTCGTCTGTTTCTTTTAATGAAGATATATGCAGATTGCATTGAAGAGATGTAGTCAGCTCACAGCATCGTTTTCAGCTTGTTATGTGTTACATCATTGCATGTTGTCTAGGCTCTCTCTTACACTTGTGGATTTAGTCTCATGACTCGAGGGCGTAGCCATACACGAGGCAGGCGAGGCAACTGCCTCATCAAATTGTACAGAAACATATATCGTCAGATATTTTTCAATTCAACATGAAGTCTAAACGTAGTAAGATATCGCTTTAGCCTAAACTTGCTTATTAATGTCTGTCTTGCTTAATTTTAGATCCTAGCTACGTCAGTGTGAACTGTATGTTGAACGAAGGTTATTGCAACCATCAACCACCAATAGATAGATGTCACTGTGTCTCATGGACTGTATGTTTAACAAACGCAATCGCAGCAAGCTCTTTACAGAACTCCTCAAGTACAATCACTCCCTCTAGTGTGGAACTACCTTCGATACTGAAATATAAAATAAGTAAAAAATAGTTAAATCAAAATGGAACACAATTAATTAAGTTTTATATTTTTGACTCTATTTTTGTATACAATATATGTACTGGTACACTGTACAATCATGCATCATAATCAAAAAGTAAATACTGAAATCTATGCTATTATTTGAGAAATTAATAAAAAAAAAATTGAAACTTAAAAATTGAAAATAAAATTGAACTTAACCTGAACCATTTTTTCTCAATTCCTCACTCCAATATTTTCGCTTACCCAAACCCTTCTTCACCTATGGCCATATAAGAACCACCACTTATCAAACTTCACCACAATACCATATATCATACAAAAAAGCGAGGTAGGTGTTTCTCTTACATACAATAAAAGCAATGAAGGGATAACATCGTATGCATTACTCATGTCACAGTCTATAAGTCGAGAAGCAATACTTTGCAGGATAGCAGGATAAATACGATGCATTGATTTAGAGTATAACATAATAGAACTGTACGTATATGGCAATTGAAGACAGTAGAAACAACAGGCCTTCACATTGATGACAAAAAGCAATGATAAATTTTACGCATGTAATGTATACATAAAAAGCAATGTTTGCATCAAACCACAGAACAGGCACTCTGGTGTAATTTAAAATATGTGAGTGAGAAGAAAGTAAATCATTAAAAATTGAATTTCATTCATGATGCAATATAATAATGTTTTGTGTACATATTATAAATGTATGTAAAACAAAAAAAAATAATCAAACAAAGGTAGTTAGTCCTGTAGAGTGACTTGTGATCTTGTGGTTTAACTTTAAACCAAACATTAAAGCAGACAACGCAACTTAACATTCAGCATTTTGTAGCAGTCAAATAAACTTACTGATCCGTGCGGACATTTCTTCATGCATAAATAAGCAGCAATATTAATACATGTACCGTTAAATTAAACATATATGCTAACAATGCCAAAAATGAGAAAAATATATTAGCAAATAAAATTAATATGAACCAATTAATTTGTATAATACACAAATGCATTTGATCTTTTTTACCTTTTACCAAGGACAAGTATAGCTCATTATTTGTCTTATGTAGTTAAAAATAACACTGAACTAAATATATAAATTCCCGACATTACTTATACTAGCGACAATCCTGGTAGCTATGGTAACAATATTAATCACAATACAAATGCAAGAGATCCATGTTAATACAGGTCGCAAGAGATAAAATGCACAATGTTCCTCACCTCTTTAAGTTGTTCTGAAGACCAATGAGTTGTCTACGGACCTGTAGCAGTTTACGATTGAAGTCTGGTATCGACTTTTGTCTGGATTTTAGGTCAGTGATAACCTGAAAAACTTCTATTTATTTACTTCCAATTTCATTGTTTGAATAATGTAAGCAATGTGAAAAATATGTAAGGTAGATTCTAGCATTTGAAATGATCAAAGCTATAAGGGGAGGTGAAATATCAGTCTTCAAATAAAGGATAATCTTATTTTGTGGGTGCTAAAATCATGGTACATTGACATAAGTCCTGCTGAAATGGCAAATATGTTTAAAACAAAAAAGGGGAGAGAAGGAAGGACAGCAGAAGTAACGCTACAGTACATGCAATTGTATATAATGTATTATCTTGCTATTCACATTAAATTAAAAAATTTAAAAGTTGAGACATATTCAGAGCATGTAACAGCTATTCCAACAATACTTAAAGTTGTCGAGAAATTGTTCGCAATTTTTCGAGAAAGTGGATATGTATTACAAGGCAAAAAAGATGGACCAAATATCACATTTTCAAGTGGGAAATAAAATGGAAAAAAATGTTTTTAAAATCAAAACAACAATTGTTATATAATTGAATACATTGTATTTTAAATTGTATTTATGTTCCACTAAATTGAAAGTTATTCCAATAAATAATAAAATAATAAAAAAAAGCCATACCTTCGTAAAGACAGTATACATGGTCCTGGTGTCTGGACTCAGATTGAGGAATGGATCTAGAAGGTACTCATGTAAGTTTGGATGTGGAAGTTGAGCCAGCTTAGATACCACAGATGTCACTTGCAGATTGATATCATAACTCTGAAAGAAAAATAGTTTCAAAAGGACAATTTTATTTTCATTTTTTACTAGTTTTTATTCTTTTAGTTTACAAAATACTTATATTTATTGCCAAAGTCTTATCAAAAACATTAGCAGCAATTAAAGGACTTGAGTGTATTGGAAAACAAATATATGGTTTGGAGGGACTTGGTTCTGTTTTCTTATTCCAATTTTGCCATTTATTCTCTCCCATGAGTTATTTCAGTAGGCAATTCTATCCATTTCTAAACATCAAAGATATGGGTGTCCTAAATATTTTCCAAAAAACATTTTGTAATACTGTTATATGCAGCAGTGTGCTTTGAGTCTCATGAAAGGCAGTCAGTAAAATACTACCTCGTATTAGACCAATGTTAATGAACAAATGAAGACTTGACCATTATTGCAGACTGTGCAGTAGACCGAAGACAATCCTACCTGATCCATTATATGTGACAGTTTGTTGAGTATGACATTGAGAAATGTTCCTTCAAAGAACTGATCAGTCTTGTCAGTCTTTATGGAGACAGGGTCTAAGGGCCAGTTGAATCAATATTGTCTGTGAAATAGACCCAAGACAATCCTACCTGATCCATTATATGTGACAGTTTGTTGAGTATAACATTGAGAAATGTTCCCTCAAAGAACTGATCAGTCTTTTCAGTCTTTATGGAGACAGGGTCTAAGGGCCAGTTGAATCCAAGGCACTGATTGGTCATCTCAGTGTACTGAAATGGGAAATTACATTTTCAGTCTGACTAAGCTGTACATTGTGATATGATGAAATGTGAAATGCATTGTACTGAATGGTCTGAAATGTGATATTATGTTGTATATTGTTGTTTTTCTTTTAGACTGAAATGTGAAATATTGTTCTTATATTGGAATAAAATGTGAAATGAAGTATGAACTGAAATGTGAAAGTAAAACATCGTTCTCGTGTCAAACATAATCTTTTTCACAAGACTTACTATATCCAAATAATAAACACATAAAATTTGTTTCACAAAAAACTTGATAAAGCTGTTATCATTATTTTATATGATAAGTCACTATTGTATGATATAGATAACTGTATCATGTGCAAAATTATTGTCCGATTTATGTAAACATTGTTCTTAATTTTCTATTGTACTTATAAAAAGCAAAACATCAACCAAATTGATGAAAGTGTTCCTACTTGTCTGTGTGCATCCCTGAGATATGTGTCATATCCACTGTCACTCATTTGGTAGCTGGATTTACACTCATCAGGAACCAGTGAGAGAAAACTGAAATAAGTTAATAACATGTAAATGTAAAGTGTGTTTCATAATGACTGGCTCAACAGCCAATCCCAGAACACATTTATTTATGAAAAAGGTATTAACATGCAAAATGTCACCACCTGCCATTTGTTATAGACACCGAACACCACCAACCAAATACCATCCACAAAAAATTTAGAGACTATAACAATATGTCACCATGGTGGTGACATAAAAACTGGCAAAAATCAAAACAAAAAGTGCTAATACGTGGCTTATTTCAGGATCTGACAAAGATATTTCTGACTACACTACAGGATGACTTTTAATAGACAATGAACAAATTTTGTATGCAATTTTTACAAGTCATTCATAAAATTATTGCCTTGATATCTTTAAGTCATTCTACATATCCCTCCTCATCCTTTAAATGATGAATGTTTCCTTACCAGTTGACAACTTTGTGGACACCTGGTTTATTGGAAGACTCTTCAGATGTAGGAACAAACCCAAGTGAGTTGAAATCTAATTCACTGCCTGAAAAATTAGTCATCATGTATTAGGACATCATAAAAGTTCTTAAAACTGATGATATCGAGTGAAAGTATTAAGTTTTTTATTAAAAGAAAGTCAGATGGGTAAAACTAATAATGTTTGCAATGTCTGCAATTTTTATTTGGAAAAGTTAGCTGGTCCTGTCAGAGGTAGAGCGCTTGTCCATTCAGCCTGGGATCATGTATTCGATCCCCAATGGAGTGGACAGCGCTTAGCACAAATACTCTAACATAAATGTTGAATAATAAGCATCCTATTCAAATCTTTGTAATATGTCTCAATTCATGCAAAGTAGAATGAATATTATCGTTAATTACATTGGCCAGGCAGGTTTACATAAAGACATCGTACATATAGGATTCATAAGTAATTAACTACATCATTCTGAAATGAACTGCAGAACAATGAGAGAGCACATTCAAAAAATAAACTTCTGTATATTTCGCCACTTGATAATGTTTCATCATAGATTTCACTGGCTGACTTACCAGGGGTGTCTGGAGTGGGAACAACATCTTGAGAACCATCTATGATTATCCCAGATATTTGGCTTGTGTCAACATTTTCTGAAGTATTTTCCACATCTTGCTGTTCACCCACTATTTCATTGGCCTTATCACTCTCTTCACTTTGTTCTGCTACTACATTATCCCCTTCAATTACTGCACTTTCCCCTTCATTTGTTGTACTCTCTTCTGTCCTTTCATCTTGCTTTGATGTGTTTGAGTCTTTCTCTACTGCACTTGATTCAGATCCATCTTCTGTTTCACTATTTTCTTTTACACTGTCAGCTTCAGCAATGTTAGTTTTATCTGCTTCAATTTGATTGGTCTGACTATCAGTGTTCTGATTGGCTGATTCTGAGACTGAACTCTGATTGGATGCTTCCTCTGCTGTCTTTTCACCAGTTGATTTTGAATCAATACAATAGTTTCTAGTCAATAGATTCCTTAGGATAAGATTATGGAAAATGTGTTCATCAGGTTTGAGAAGTAGAGTTTCAAACAGTTTCAGTGTGACCAGAGTTAATTCTTCAGAGAGGTGATCACATCTTTCAATGAGCCTCATTCTGAACTTGTGTGATTGAGTTGTGTCGTCTTTAAATTCAGGATCCCTATCTTCACCAAGTATAAATAGTGCAAATTCTGAAATAAAGCAAAGAAATAAATGAGGACAGAATCAGTTGGAGAATTTCATTCCTAAAATTTAAATCAATCTATCAAATGGTTTGTTATTTTAGGCATATGAAAAAAATAAAGAGTTCCATACAACAAATATTATCAACATATAAATGTATTACATGTTCTTTTTGTACAATATGAGGAATCTTACGTGTAAGTAGTGATGAGGAAGACACCAGTCTGAGACACCTGGTCAAGAGACATGTAGATGTTATTGCACCACTCTCATTCCTACAAAATATAACACAGATACAGTCTGAGACACCTGATCACAGTCTGAGACACCTGGTCAGGTCAGAAATAAACTGAAAGCAAAATAACTAGACAATGGCGATGCAATTTTATCAATCAACAATGTTTATGGCAACCATTTTTAAGATATTTAAGATGCACTGGATCTATTTACAAAAAGACTCTATTACTTCTCTAGTTATAGCAAAAAAGTAAAATTGCTGCCATTTTGAAATCAGTGGCCATTTTGAAAATTTCCCTCGGAGCAGAACTTGGTAACCACAGGGTCCCCACATGAACTAAAAATATCATGTCAAGTTTGTAAGACAGAGGGCTCTAATATGCTTCACTAAGAACTGATGATGTATCAGCAAAAAAGTAAAATTGCTCCCATTTTGAAATTAGTGACCATTTTGAAGATTTGCCAGCAAAACCTGTGGGTAACAAGACAAGTGAAACCTTACGTTTGTAGGACAGATGGCTCTATATGCTTCACTAGGAACTGTTGATGTATTACCACTGAGAGTTGTTTTGCTACAAATGGGTGAGCCATCATGATCAGCTGGTCACAGTAGTCCAGCCAGGAGAGAAAGGAAGTAAGTTGCCGCTTGCCAGGAAATGTGATGAACTCATCTGTATCAGTCATGACATCTAGCCTGGAATAGATTTTATATGATTAGATTTTTTTCTCTGGTATTGGGTCCCAACGCCCAAAAGATAAATTGATCAAAGATTTATAACTTTTTTAGTATAACTATACATCTTATTGAAAAGTCAAAAAAAATTCTTTATTTTCCAACACAATGTACTATTTTTGAAATATCTTGTACTTATAAATCTCATCTTTAAATGTTATATCAGTCATGCTCAACATATACATCCAAGGTGATGTGTTTACCTTTGAATAAGGTGTATCTTGGGGTTGTTCTTCAGAGAGTTTTTCATATAATTAGTTTCAACATAAGTCATCTGATTTGAAAGGTAAAACATCTCAAACTTAAGACAATGCATTAACATGCAAAATGTCACCACCTGCCATTTGTTACAGATGCCAAACTCCAACTGGCTCCCTCCGAACACCATCCACAAAAAAGTTGGTGACTATAACAATATGTCACAACTTCTAGTGGTGTCACATTATAACAGGGACATAACCTTACCCCCAGTTGGCCTCATAGAGACTCTCCACATCCCCAGGGTCCAGGGTCTTTGGTAGCAGGGAATACAGCCTGGTGAGTTTCTCTGTGATCTCAGTACAGAACTTTGTGTTTTCAATGATGGCTTTGGCTGAGCTTTCTTCAGGAAGACTAGCACACAGGAGGAGACCTTCACATGCTTTAATTGCCACACGAGAATCCTGTAATAAACATCATTTATAAATACACTGTACAGAACTTAGTGTTTTCAATGATGGCTTTGGCTGAGCTTTCTTCAGGAAGACTAGCACACAAGAGAAGACCTTCACATGCTTTAATTGCTACACGAGAATCCTGTAATAAACATCATTTATAAATACACTGTACAGAACTTAGTGTTTTCAATGATGGCTTTGGCTGAGCTTTCTTCAGGAAGACTAGAACACAAGAGAAGACCTTCACATGCTTTAATTGCTACACGAGAATCCTGTAATGATCATCATTTTGTACAAATAGAGTATACATTAATTCAAATATGCTGGTAGAGTTAAGCAGTTAACCAGAGTTTGGTTTAGATCTATGAATTGATATTCACAGTCTTCAAAATTATTTTTTCGTTTCAATTTTAACCACATGAGTGATTTGTGAAACGATATAAAACACAGATTAAAAAAAGTATATAAAAATGCTGTGAGTATAAGGAACAGAGACAGCTGACTGTATCATTATACTGAATATGTATATCACTTACAAATTAAAGCATTGGTATATGCAGAGATCACACCTGATGTAGCATTTGCAATATTTTTAACAATTAAACTAGCACTTATGCGTAAAATCCCTTTCTTCTCTTCACTGTGAAATATAAAATAGAAAGGGCTTTGGAGCAGAGGTCTAATCCAAGATAGTAAATCACATGTGCAGAACGAGCACTTACTTCACTTCGTGTGAGTGCCAATAGGGACTCCATGAGAGCAAAATCAATCTGTGGCTGCTCAGTCATTGTGCGGATATCTTGCTTCTGACTCTTCAGAGACTGAAATGAACAACATGCATCATGATATTTGTGTAGTATTTACACTTAATACTAGAGAAACCATTGACTGTAGATAGATGTAGAAGGTTGGATGAATGCCTATTCTTTCACCTTGATCTAACTAATGAATATTATTATCTTGATATTACAAATATGTCCAACGAAACATTAATCTTAAACAAAACATGCAGGACCCCTGGGAAATACCTCTAGCACCATATTTTGGTGCTACAAAAATACAACATTTTCTATTCCACAAAGGAGAACATATGGACAACTCCACAGGCTCAGCATGTGAGCCAAATACACAAGTAAACAAGTTCATGTTCAATGTTATTCACTGTTACAGACTAGGTCAAGTTAAGAAACTACATATGATGACTTACCAAATGGGTCAAGTTAGGAAACAACATCTGAGGACACCTGGCAAACAATTTAAAAGGTCCAAGTCAATCAAAAACAAAAGTAACCCACACAGTCCTGCATGCTTTGATGTCACGTATTACAGTAAAAACAACAAGAACACAAATGTGTACAAAATGTCCCCACCAAGTGGTGATCCCGTGAAATGGTTATCCTGAAAATGAGTAGACAAGACTTTACCAACACAATTTGAGGACGGAAAATCCAAAGTGGCCACCTTAAAATTTACCAAGAATGCCAAAAATTTAGTCAGTTCTAGATTTTCATACTAAGAACCACCCCTGAAAATTTGAAATTGATCCGTCACACAGTTAACCAGAAAACATGTAAACAAGACTTTACAGACAAGATTTCAGGATGGAAAATCCAAAATGGCTGCCTTGACATTTACCAAGAATGTCAAAAAACTAATCTGTTTGTAGATTTTCATACTAAGAATCATCCCTGAAAATATGAAATTGATCTACCAAACGGTTCACCTGAAAACGGGTAGACAAGACTTTACAGACAAGATTTTAGGATAGAAAATCCAAAATGGCTGCCTTAACATTTACGCAGAATGCAAAAAAAGTAATCAGATGTAGATTTTCATACAAAGAATCATCCCTGAAAATTTGAAATTGATCTATCAAACCGTTCTCCTAAAAACGCGTAGACAAGACTTTACAGGCAAGATTTTAAGACGGAAAATCCAAAATGGCTGCCTTGACATTTACCCAGAATGCAAAAAAACTAATCAGTTCTAGATTTTCATACTAAGAATCATTCCTGAAAATTTGAAATTGATCTACGAAACAGTTCACCTGAAAACGAGTAGACAAGACTTTACAGACAAGATTTTAGGACGGAAAATCCAAAATGGCTGCCTTGACATTTACCCAGAATGCCAAAAAACTAATGAGATCTAGATTTTTATACTAAGAATCATCCCTGAAAATTTGAAATTGATCCACCAAACGGTTCACCTGAAAACGCGCAGACAAGACTTCACAGACAAGATTTTAGGACCGAAAAATCCAAAATGGCCGACAATAAAAAAGTCCTTATGAGTTTTTGCTGATTTCTTTTTACAAAATTATCACATATAACTACTGTTAACAATAAAGTAGGCTTTTACAGCAAAGTACATCTGAAATTATTTATAAAGCTACTAAATAGTTAAAGTATGAAAACTCAAAAACACCATTCAATATGATACAAAGTATTATCGCGCGCTAACTTTTCTTAAGACATTCAAAATGGCTGACATAAATGAGCTAGCAGGTCCAAAACCTAATCAGATCTAGAATGAAGTGAGCTGAACAAGATGTTAAAGTTTTAAAAGCAACTGTGAAGCAGTTTTTCTTAAAGTTTGCAGACAAGGATTTTAGCATTCGACTTCAAAATGGCCGACAGGAAGTAGGTATCGAGTTAATTTTTTTTCATCCACATCTGTATGCACTCATAAGTTATCCCTGAAAATTTGAAGGTGATATCTGTAGCGGTTTTGGAGAAAACTGCCGGACGTACGGACAGACAGACGGACAGACGGACAGACAGACGGACGCGCCTAGGCCGACAATATGGCCCCACACTATGTGGTGGGGACATAAAAAGGATAAATTCCATAAAGTGGAATAACATCTATACATTAGAAAAGAGAATGCTCAGGATACACATATACAACATACATGTACAGATTTACATAATCATTACTGGTAAATATGGAAATATCAGATCCCACTCACCAGTTCAAGATCATCCTATGTGAGTGAGAAACAGAAATAAAATCATTATTTAAACTTCAAAATTTTTGAATAAACTTTCCATAAAGCATAGTGGATGGAAAACAATGTTTATTGAGGTATAGAATGAAAAGTATGTGATATATTGTTCATAAAACACAATGATAAAAATCCAAATGATACCAGGCAAAAAATGGGTGAAAAAGAGACAGAGAATTAAAATTGAAATTATTTCCACCCATAAAAACATCAAGGAACATTTGACAAAAACAGCACAAGAAGTACGAACATGTTACTTACCTCTAGGAAGAAGTTGACTGTATATGGAGCAGACTTGATCTTGGCACATACAGTACATAGAAACTGTATCTCTTCATTCTCTGAAGGAGAGGCCCTGATCTCCCCACATACTTTAACTAGACGCTGGAAATTAAAAACAGTAAATCATATATCATACAATAAAGTTTGTAAAGTAATACACATTTAGAAGTGGTATATTCTATAAGTGCAACATCTCTATTTGTTAGCACCTCAGTGTAAGTACTCGCATCTGATTGGTCAATAAGCGGTCAACATTTTTGCCTGTACCACACCTGTGCATCATGGGATATCATATTATTGACCGCGTATGTAACTGTACTACACTTGTGAATTATGGGGAATATGACGTCATAATGTTTACAGAAAAACATGGTAGACGGACATTTTGTAAACGTTGATGAAAGTGATATATTGTCTTTACTAGACAACAAGTATAGCAAAAATACAAATAAAAACGTAAAGTTAACATTAATTTACTAGTGAGTACGCAGAGTTTAACTACCACTGTCTTCAGATTTTCTTTCGATTTTCGAAAATTATTGGTGGCGTGGTTCGAAGAAAAGGTTGTGAAATGAAGCCATGATTGATGATTATCGTCTATATGTGTATTAATAGTTTCTTCTGACTAACAAAACAATTGTAGACCTCTCCATTCGGTCAACCGTCAAAATCATATACCTCGACTGTAAACCTTGAAACTACTGTTGACCTCGACCATCGGTCTCTGTCAAAAGTAGTTTCTCGGTTTACAGTCTCGGTATACAATTTTGCCGGTTGACCTCTAGAGAGGTCAACAATTGTATAAAGTGAGACACATTTCAAAGTTCTGTTACCTAAAAAGCCTATTAACTTAATGTAAATGAACCTCCGTGGGTTGGGAGTGCAAGACTAATTTGAGGTTCCAAAGGTGTTCTAGTTACACCTGTTTTTTGTACAGTCAGATGTAGAATGGAATATAATATATTGAGGGACTCTCACTTGTGAATATATCATATACTCACTTGAGTATAAAAACGATAAGAACCATTATATAACCTCATAATATATTCTACAATACTGTAGAATAATTTTGGCATTGATGATAAGAAACTGGCTCACTTCAACCTTTACAAACATTTAACTGAATATAAAAAACTGAACAAAAAGTACAAGGAATGACTAGATGTCAGTCAGTCATATTATTACAAATTGATAAAATTGACTTGTTCCTGAACACATTCCATTTGAGGAAAAATAGATTTCAGATTTAAACATGATTTTACTTACATGAACTGCCCTGTGGACATTAACATGTGGAAGCAGGGGTTGCCTGACCTTGGACAGAAGTTGCGTGAAAAAAGAGAGAACTTCTTGTTTCATTCCCGGGGGACACTGAAATGAATATATCACACATATTACAAATACCTATAAACCCTATAAATAGACCATACATGTAAATGTATAAACTCTTATGGTACTAGATAATGTCTCCGATTTTTGAGTGTGATGACAATGCAGTTGTGTGCTCTCTCTCTGGTTAATAGAAAATTGATTTAGTTAAGTGCTTTGGACCCATGATTTTTCCTTCAGTGGGCGATATTACCTCAGTTGAAGCTCTGAACCATGTGAATAACATTTGAAGGCAAATGAAAATTTATTAATTCTCAAGACAAAATTAATTGACTATTCTCAACAAATTTTTATATGATGTCATTCATTATAGGCCTTCAAATTCAATATTGTTCTCTATTTGTTTCCCTATCATTTATGATTGTTATGCCTCATATGTGATAGACTAACTACTATTGCTACACAAACTCACATCTGTTCTACCAAGTGTATACAGGGTTTCCAAGATTTTGTGCTGTAAAAGGTACTCCATACATGGCCCAGATATTCCAGACTCTATGGCACTCTCCTCTTGCAACAATAGGTCCAACATCTGTCTCAGGTGAGAGGGGATGTTAGTTTGCTCTACAGCAACTTTAGTGTCTGAAAAGGTTAAAGGTCCTATGTATAGTTTGAAAATATAGATTTATCATTCATTAACTATTTTTCATGATGATTCCTGACTAGGATTGTAAGGGAAACATTAGCATGCTTTTTGAAAAGACTGTGTCTAACATGTTTCACTCTCTTTATCTAGTTCTACTAAAAAGTTGTTTTATGCTACCTTACTGTTCCTTATACTAAGTTCTATTTCCGCTTTATCAATTTTTGTATACTGATGGGATATGAAATATATATTGAGCATATGTCAACAGATTTTATAATCATTGACTTAAATAAAAAGATAAATCCTAAACAAAATTTCCAGACAATTAACACAAGAACACAAATGTGTACAATATGTCCCCACCAATGGGTGATCCCATGAAATGGTTATCCTGAAAATGAGTATACAAGACTTTACTGACACAATTTGAGGACGGAAAGTCCAAAATGGCCGACTTAAAATTTACCCAGAATCCCGAAAAAATAGCTAGTTCTAGATTTTCATACTAAGAACCACCCCTGAAAATTTGAAATTGATCCGTCAAACAGTTAAACAAGACTTTACAGACAAGATTTTAGGATGGAAAATCCAAAATGGCTGCCTTGACATTTACCCAGAATGTCAAAAATCTAATCAGTTCTAGATTTTCATACTAAGAATCATCCCTGAAAATTTGAAATTGATCTACCAAACGGTTCACCTGAAAACGCGTAGACAAGACTTTACAGACAAGATTTTAGGACAGAAAATCCAAAATGGCTGCCTTGACATTTACCCAGAATGCCAAAAAACTAATCAGATCTAGGTTTTCATACTAAGAATCATCCCTGAAAATTTGAAATTGATCTAACAAATGGTTCACCTGGAAATTCGTAGACAAAACTTTACAGACAAGATTTTAGGACGGAAAATCCAAAATGGCTGCCTTGACATTTACCCAGAACGCCAAAAAAACTAATCAGATCTAGATTTTCATACTAAGAATCATCCCTGAAAATTTGAAATTGATCTACCAAACGGTTCACCTGGAAATGCGTAGACAAGACTTTACAGACAAGATTTTAGGACGGAAAATCCAAAATGGCTGCCTTGACAATTACCCAGAACGCCAAAAAACTAATCAGATCTAGATTTTCATACTAAGATTCATCCCTGAAAATTTGAAATTGATCTACCAAACGGTTCACCTGAAAACGTGTAGACAAGACTTTACAGACAAGATTTTAGGACGGAAAAAACCAAAATGGCCGACAATAAAAAAGTGATTACGAGTTTTTGCTGATTTCCTTTTACAAAATTATCACATATAACTACTGTTAACAATAACATAGGCTTTTTCAACAAAGTACACCTGGAATTATTTATAAAGCTACTAAATAGTTAAAGTATGAAAACTCAAAAACACCATTCAATATGATACAAAGTATTATCGCGCGCTAACTTTTCTTCAGACATTCAAAATGGCTGACATGTCTGGGCTAACAGGTCCAAAACCTAATCAGATGTAGAATGAAGTGAGCTGAACAAGATGTTAAAGTTTTAAAAGCAACTGTAAAGCCATTTTTCTTAAAGTTTGCAGACAAGGATTTTAGCATTTGACCTCAAAATGGCCGACAGGAAGTAGCTATCGAGTTAATTTTTTTTCATCCACATCTGTATGCACTCACAAGTTATTCCTGAAAATTTGAAGGTGATACCTGTAGCGGTTTTGGAGAAAACTGCCGGACGTACGGACGGACAGACAGACAACCAGACAGACAGACGGACGGACGGACGGACGGACGCGCATAGGACGACAATATGGCCCCACACTATGTGGTGGGGACATAATAAAAGGTCCTCACCTTTATTGTTGACAAAGTGATGTGTGATTGCCTTCCAATGGAATACAAAGTCCTCCCTCATGGGAGCTTGATCCTGGCCAAGCTGCAACAAGAATATATCAACAGTATGTATTACATATCTAGCTAGGCATTTGTATGGGAGTCAATGGAAAAGAAGGGGGCTAAACAGGCCTTCATTCTTCCAAAAATGGCCTCCCTAGGCAAACTCAAGCATATTTCATGTTTAGTCACATAAACTCTAAATATGAAATAACAAATAAAGCTTTCTGTACCATTTGATGATTTGATCACCTATTTACCAAGTAGAAGTTATATTTAACCTTATGATAGGAACTTTAAAGTAAGTTTGTATAAATTCTATGAGATAACCCAAAAAGGGATGGAGGGAAATCACGGTTTCTGTCTACATGTACATATAATCTTGTGTTATCTTGTCAAAAATGTTCAAAAGTGCAATTCTGAAATTTGGATTTCTGTTAGAAGTTTATATGGAGGTTGTGTAAATTATATGACCCATGATCTCACAATATTGCAAAAAAATGAAAAGTATGTTGTAAATCGAAATAAAAAAGCACTTGATTACAAAGTGTATGAAGCACATTTCAGGCAAAAGGGAAATAACTATAAATTAACAAACAATTGACTCTATTTAAATCCATGCATTTGAGAGTAAAGCCTCTCTATTAAATCAAATCTATAATTCTGCACACTGTCACAGTTTATTAATTGTCAATAATGTGAAGCAAGTATTGCATGCATTATTCTATTATACTCTTAGCTATATCTGCATATTAAATCCACCTGTATAACTATTATATAGTGGCTTATACTAATTTGGGATCAAAGAGGACTATGCAGGTTTATGATGCAGGAATGATGCAGGTTGTTCAGTAGATGTTTTTGTCAAATAGATTTTACAAAATATTATGGTATTCTATCCTTTGTGACATAATGGGTTGCTCGTATCTATTTTAAGTTTTTTGGGCAAGGAAGTAATATGCTTATTGGTGACTAAGCCTTAATTCTTGAGTTTATCTAAGCATGGATTCCAGGGTTTTTCAATTCTTACATGTTCATCATCATCTTCATCAAAAGTGTTCTGAACCTTAAAAAAAATGATACAAAACAAATATTGGATTAGTCAATACATACTACATTTAATTAGTAATATGAGATCTGAAAACATGCTGCCTCATTTTAGTTTGTGATACTTTATTATAAGCCAAAAATGCATCTCATTCATCTAAAACTCAATGTTCAACACTACTTGTACTTACCGGGCGTAAAGTCTAGAAAATCATGAAACAGAAGTAAGAAAATGAAAATGATTGCAAAATAGATCAAATTAATTCCCTGAATTCACAGGTCACAATGACATGATCATAAATGATTAGAACTTCATATATCGTCAATTTCTCTAAAATCTTTGCAATGGGTGAAATCCATTTGGTGATTTCAACAATCTTCAAGATGGGGCATGAACTTGAATTTTTATTATGATTGGGGGTCTTATTGATCTCTGTAACTAAAGATTATTAGAAACATAATGTAACAAAGTCAAAATAAGAGTTTGGAAATATGATTGTCTATCAACAAGAAAATAATGCAAACTCTTTGTTGTCGAGATCCTCATTGTATTTTGATAACTACTGATCCTCTGCACAGTTAAGGACCACACAGAGAAAGACAATGGACAAAACTTAATGCTTCTTTCTAGTTGGTTAAGAAACAATTTATTCAATAATGTCACAAATTATGCGAAGGAATTTAGAAGGAACTTGAGACATTTGGATGATTAAGACGTTTAATTAGATAATTTGGAGTCTGCATATACACTGTTTAAAAAACTTGTAATTTAAGCATAATTAGACATTTTATTTTAAAAATTTATGAGAGGTGTCATGGATACCCAATTTGTTCTGACTGGTGGGATTAGGCTCTCAAGTTGGAACACGGAAAAATTCAACATTTTGGTTCAGCTACGGAACAAGAAAACAAGAAAACTTTGCCTTTTCCTGCAGCTTTTGGCCATCAAATTACCGCAAAACAGCATATCTCTTTCGAGTTTTTTGAACTGATATTTCATTTTTTCACTCCTTCTCATTAACAAGTTTTGAAGAGGTTTTGCTACCAGATAGACCAAGTCGATCAACTTACACTTACACAATACACTTCAAGGATTTATTGCTTCATTGCGAAATTCCCGGACTTGAGTCAACGTTTTTTTCGAAACTTACTGCCATATAATTCTACCAGGATTGGAAACATGAATTTCAAAAAAGTTACCTGTTTTATATCCCTATCAATTTCTCACCTTAATTAGCTCATCTTGGTGACTTGAACTTGCACAGAGTCTTATAGTATCCTATCAATCGAAATTATAACTGTAATTGTATCAACTGGCCTCATTTGACTGTTTCTTGTTGTCTGGTAAGATCCAGTCAGAGTTTTGGCAATAGATGACGTTTTCTGAACTATGTATATCAGTCAAGATCTATGCGATCACCAATCAAATAGCACGATATGATCATGTGATAAATCACAGGCACACGTTTTCCAAGAAATAACCAACGATGCCTGCTTATAAAGAGGTGATCATGTTACCTTCTGCCAAAGCGCTGACTGCTTGTTTCCAATCCTCATCCTGGTAAAATTATATGGCAGTTGAAACGTTGACTCAAGTCTGTGGCAAAATTGTTTTATTCCGAAGCCAAGTTCTAAACCAAACCATTCTGATTTTTCTGTGACACCTCTATAATTTATCTGTAATATAGACTAGGTCTAGGCTAGGCCTTATAATAATGACAAATGAATGTGACAGTCACAGTTCAGGGTTGAAATATTGGCACTGTAAACTTACCGCCTCAACTGCATTGTGCAAGATCGTTGTGAATTTCGAAAACATGTTTCTTTCGTTCTTGGATACTTGATCTTTCAACTTTCACACATTGCAAATCAAAATATCCTACAAAAAGACTAAAATCGATGTGTAAAATGAGAGATAAAAATCAAAACATTTTCTGATGTGGAAGAGGAAGTGAATTGTACGCATGCGTCTATGCGAGATTTGTGTGACCTACATTTTTTGGTGCTGACCTACTTACGTTCAAACTCTGTTTATTCACTATTGCTGAGACTTCCAGCTCTCTATTTTTCCTGCGTAGACCTATGTTAAGCTACTCTTCACCGAGAGTTTTGTATGCTCATTATCAAGTCATAGTTTTTGCAAAATAGGTCAACGAGACAGAATAGATCTAAATTTGGGATGGCAGAAAGTTCGGACGACGATTACACAGATGACAGTTGGACCTTCTACAGGGACCGAGAAGAGTGGAAAGATGTAACACCAGTACCACAAGATGACGGACCCAATCCTGTAGTAAGGATAGCTTACTCTGATCGATGTAAGTCCAAGCTACTTTTTTGTAAAAACTTCTCTGATTCTGAATAAAATATTGATATTTTCCTACAGGCTACACATCTTTATGATGATTATCAAGATTTGGAAGTCATACAATCCGAGTAACACCCTACATGATATCGGAAAACATAATTCATATCTTATTCTGGCGCCAGATGATACTGCAAATGTAAGACCATTGAAAAATTCACAAAATCGGAAGCGTTACACCTTATTTGTGTTCCGGGGGGGAGGTACTCCCATGTATTGTGGATGTGCCGCTAAAGTGTGTCACTTTTTCGCCGAAAAATCCCTAGATGTGGGTCCCATTTTGAAGAAAAAAAAACTATAGATATGGGTCCCATTTTGATGAAAAAATCCCCAGAACGTCTACTTTTTGAAAAATTCTAAAACTGCGTACTGTTTTTGAAAAGAATCGCTGGAAGTGGGTCTTGTTTTTTAAAAATTACCTTGAAGTGGGTCTATTTTTGAGAGAAAAACCCTAGATTTTGGCTTCCAGATTGCCAGACTAGACTTGAGAATCTGATGGGGTTGGATTGCAAAATTTTGGTTATCACCTGTTTTTCGCAAACTACTAATAAAATCTCATAATTTATTTTGAAACTCAGATAATTTAAAGAAATGTTATGGAAAGAATAATAGACACTTGGGTAAATTTCAAATGAATGTGACAAAATTAAAACCATCAATGAAGCCCTCTAGACCCTTCCATGTGGTACAAGTAAGATTATTCAATTACCATTATATTTTTCAGTTGCCGATGTATATGATTATTTCCGTGCAATGGTCAAGAAAGACGAGAGGAGTGAGCGAGCCTTTGATTTAACAACTGATGCTGCTGAGTTAAATTCAGCCAACTATACAGTCTGGTATTACATTTCATCACATCAGTGATACATCTACACTGTTCATTTAGTTTAAATGTGTCGGGATGTGTGTAATTAAAATAACAGAACTACTTGTCAAAATTAAGTCACAGACAAGTTGATGTGTTGTTTTCCATGCAATAACTTCCAGATTGTGAAGACAAAAATAGCACAGTAAAATCTAGGTTATTTTTCAGTTGTTTTTTTACCTAGTGTATATTTCTAGTGGTGTGAAAAGTTTTAGAATTGATTTCTAATAACCGCTGCTTTCACCCTTTTCCCATTGTTTATTCTGCTACTCATTTTATTATAAAAACCTCAAATACTTAAATGTAGAAATTATTTGTAGGCACTATAGAAGGGTGTTGCTTAAAGACTTGGACAAAGATCTTAATGACGAATTGGTTTATATCACAGAAGTAATCCATGATCACCCGAAAAACTACCAAGTTTGGTAAGAATTAATACAATGATCACGATGTAGCTAGAAAATCTCAATGTATTTACCAAAATCGACCATTGTGATAGGGAAGGCCTTTGCTTGAATGTCTGGGTAGAATTTTGCTCTAAAATAAAATCACCTTTTCTAGAAACTTTTTTAAAAATTTATTTAAGATGGAATTAATGACACATACTGTATAAGTGGTATTTAATCCGAGTGGTTAATTTTCCGAATGGTCAAATTTTATAATTTTCCTAATTTTAATTTTCCTGATGACAAGAAACCTCCCATTGGATAACATTATGAAGACAATATTTCCGACATTTAATTTTCCGAACCTGGCAAAAATTAGGAAATACTGTAGGAAAATTAAATGATTAGGCAAAATTTCCACTTATACAGTAACCGCTACTTGTATTATATTTCATGACAATAGAAATCATGTTTTACAAGGTAAACCTGTGTAATATGAAGTGTAAATTGTATTGTAGGCATCACCGTAGAGTGATAGTGGAATGGCTAAAGGACCCATCAAATGAACTCAAGTTTACTGAGGAGATTCTACGAGATGATGCCAAGAATTACCATGCCTGGGAACACAGGTATTTTATACAATCATGTACATGTATGATACATCTAGTAAAGAGATATACAATGAAACTTGCTAAGTGGAACACCTCTGTTGGTCGAAAACTTTTCAGAGTCCCAAGACCAAATGACTTAATGTTAAATGAACCTCTATAAGTTTAACACCTCCAAAGCTGAACACTTTTTAAAGGTACCAAAGATGTTCCACTTAGACTGAGTTTACTGTATATTGCACTGTATATAAATGTTACTGCTTGAACATTTGATATTTAATATCCTCATATAAGTTATTTACTTCAGGTATTTTTCTATATGTTTATTGTTTATTGTTTACTGTTGATTGAGAATCAGTTCCAAAATTATATTGGCTGAAGACAGGGTTTAACAGCTTCATTAGGAAGCATTTTAACAAAAAAGGCATTTTAACGAAGATTTTTGAGGTGTTCACAGGCACAAATTCCTTTAGAAACTTTTTGTCAAAATGCCTCATAACGAAGGCAAAGCAATTTAAGCTTGTTGTATAATAGGCACCAGTGATGTTCACAATTGTAATTCTTAAATCTTCTTTATACGTTATTCAATGTTCATATATTCACTTGCTCAAATAAACATTTCATTATTGTAGACAATGGGTGCTGAGAACATTTGATCTCTGGGACAAAGAGCTTGTGTTCACGAACAGACTCATAAACAACGATATTCGCAACAATTCCGCGTGGAACCAACGCCATTATGTAATTGCCAACACATCCACCTTTACAGATGACGTAGTAGAAAGAGAAGTAAAGTATGTATTTAACATTTTTATGGTATTTTTGAATTTATGATACTTTCATCAATTTAAAGATTTCTTTCAGTTATTTCACAACACACAATAGTATACATGTACCTCCAAGAGTTTAATATTACATGTATTGTACAGAATATTGAAAATATTATGATTGATAAAGGACCATTATCCTTTTTATTTAGAGGGTATTTTTTGCCCGAAAAATAAAAACCATATGTTTTTTCATAGTGTATTTTTGTTACTTCTAATTCATCAGTTGTTTCAGCAAATATGTCATGTGAGCATTAGAGGATTTAGAGGATCTGAGAGGATTAGTGGTCAATGTTTAGATAATAGATTATAGTGTTTGATATAAAACAAACTATTATTTGCTTTAATTGAGACATTCCAGATGATATTCGTCAAATAATTCATCACATTTATTGCTCCAAATATGGATAAAAGTTCTTACCCTTTTTCAGTACACTTTAAAAGAGTGATTTATCTTCACCGTGAATAAGACATAATCTTTTAACCTTAACATGAACAGCAAAAACAGAATTGCTTTTGGAGAGCTTTCAACTTTCATGAGTAGCTGCCATTTATTTTATATTCAAACTTCCATTAAAGCCTGTGACATCTAGTGTTGGGGTCATTACGATATTTTCCTTATTTATATAATGCTCGTAAATGTTCAAATCAAACTCTATGATTTTAGCTGTGCTTGAAAGTAAATATAAGAAGTTGAAGAATGAATGAACTGATTCACTCAATTCATCTATTGGAACTTAATTAGTTTTTGTTATGATGCATTGATGCACTTTATGTACATTTCAATGCTGTGTTAACTGTATGTATGTTAACAATGTTTCATGAGTAAAATGTGTGTTTATATTTTTTATAGTTATACAAAAGAGATCATCAGCAGAGCCCCAAACAATGAAAGTGCTTGGAATTTCCTTAGAGGGTATGTATTATTTTTTTGTAAAGAAGAATATTAGGTGCATATCTTTCCAAAGTAAACTGAAGTCATTTTCTAAAAGAAATTTCAATGTATTGCTTAAAATTTAGCTGTTTCTATTGCACTCTACAGGGCTTGCATTAACGGCGTCCCGTACATGTTAAGGACTCAAAAATAATTTGGAGGACGCAAAAATTGAAAATATTTCCGTTTTTTGGACGCAAATTTTTTTTAGGTCAATACTACAATGTGTTTACAACGATACCTAACAAAAACAAATAATTATGATCTCTCACCTTTATTTGAATCGTAAATAAGGCTCAACATGTTGAATATTTACAAATAATCATGATTCTCTCAAATTTTTTCGACTTTGTTTATTTTTAGATTTGAAACCATGACACGCCACAGTTTTTCCTATTCAGAAACAAATATTAGGTTATTCATGAAAGAAAATGTATTCATTGTCGAATGAACGAACATGCATTTATTCAGTCCGTACTTAACGTTAACTTCCGTTTTAAATTCGCGGCAAGAAATCAAAAACTGAAAATAAGGGACACACTTTTTTTTCAAAGGACACACTTTTTAAAAAAATTGCGTCCTTGGGACTCACAAATTTTCTAACCTAATGCAAGCGCTGACTCTATCAAAGTTCTATATTACTGTTGTCTTGTGCTGATGGTCTTGCCTGCATCTGTTTGTCTGGGAGGGCAGGCAGGCACCACAAAAACCTTGTCATCAAAATTCCTGGAAAATCATCTACCTGTCCAACTTAAATTTTTTACAGATGCAAGAGCAGACTAATGCCAAAATCTGATTATGTTTTGGGCATGCTGGGTAAATTACTTGGTGGCAATTTTTTTCAATAAAAGGTGAAATATTTATCACAATGTGTCATCTTGTTTGAAAATTATTTAATACGACATTATCTTGATTTATTATGTCACCACCACAGTTAGTAACATATTGTTTATCTCCAACTTTTTATGGACGGTGTTCGGTATTTGGCTTTCAAAGTCTGTAACAAATGGCAGGTAGAAACATTTTGCATATTAATGCCTTGTTTCATATATATGATCTCTTGATGTTTTCAGTGTTCTCCAAGACAGAGAATTAAGCAGGTACCCCAAACTGATGGAGTACTGTTTGAACATGTATGAACACAGTATTAGGTCCCCCTATCTCATGGCTCTTATAGTGGACATGTATGTAGAACAGATGGAACTCAAAGATGTAGAGAATTCAGTAGCCCTTCCAAAAGCTTTACAGGTACTGAAGAAAATATTATAGTCAGTGGTAACAAATAATGATAAAAATAGCCAAATTCATAAAATGCAAGAATAAATTGTTTTTGGAGACATCGTGGTTTTAATTCAAATCTCCAGAAGATTGCCCACGTTGTCCAGTAATACGATTGTCACCATACAACAGTTTTAGTCACAGTTTTTTAGTAAAAAAGATTTGCCAATAAAAGTATATAACTATAGCTTGTAACTTGTACCATCAGTAGACTTTGTTTACAAACTTCTTTTCTGGAAGTAACATAGCTTGAACTATATTTCTTACATAGTTAATAAATTAATAGCCTTTTAGAAATTATGAGGGGTATATGACACTGCTCCCATTATACTTTACACATGTCATTTTGTTTACCAGTTAGAAATTTTTCCATATCTTGGTATTTTCAGGAAAAAAGCTTGTAAGAAAGTCTAATGGTGACGCAAATTGCAGGCTGTTGAACATTTTAAAAATTGTTAAGAATGCTTAATGTTTTGTTTCAGTTTTGTTCTTCACTGGCTTCTGAACACGACACTATACGTAAGAATTATTGGGAATATTTATCACGCTCAATAACTTGTAAATATGGAGAAACTGCAAAATCCTGAATTAAATGATCTTAGGAAGTTGCTACAGTGTTGAATGGAGAGTCAGAACTTGAAATAGGACTCTTGTAACTGTCTGTATTTGGAGTATTTACAAAATCGTAATCCAATGATGCAATCAACTGATCAACTGAATTGAGGCATGTTACTGTCTATAGGTGATATTCTTATGCTGGGCTAAATTTGCATACAAGAACATATTTCAAAATCTCAAAAAACATTGTATCAATAACACAAAACAAGAATGTTTTCTCAAATTCTTAAAACATACTTTACAGAAAGTACCTATTTTTAGTTTGGTCGTCACCATGTATTTCAACTCTTGTGGCAGTAATATGTACATGTTTAGTTATTCAAAACAGTAGGACAACATAAACAACCAAGTTAGGACCTACCATCTGTACGAGTCATCAATGCAAAGACATTTGTTTGGAAAAAAGTATGATCGTGCTCTCTAGAATAAAGGTCTATTCCTATCAACTAACACTAGCTGATATTGATTGATAAATTAATTATAATAGTACAGTAGCCATAATTTCCTGGCTAAGATAAATAAAAAAGTTCAATAGATCTATTCTAAGAAAAAGTTTATTTTGTATATTTGCAGTTTTGTATTATTTTGTATTGTTTGTCCTTTGTGTGTATTTTGATGTGCAGGCTAAATCCAGTATACATTGTGGACATGTGTCGTCAATCTGTGTGTCAAAATGAAATAAATTATGAGAAACTCAAAAATGTGTCTGTTCAGAGAAAATATTAAAAGATGGCGCATATGCTAAAGGAAGAAATCACCAGGGGTCAGAGGTATAATAAAGCAACATATGTTAACCTTACCTCCAGGCCTTATACATCCTTCCATACAAAATTTAAAAGGATTTGTTGATAAACCCTGTGAAACAAGAAATCGATGCCGTCATAAACTTGAATAGGCCTTTCCCTCACTTCTGATGTGATCACCTTTTGAATGAAGTCAGTTTCTATAAACTGAATTTACCAAGTGTCCATATTTATTTTACCAACAAAGCTCCAGAGGAATAAAATTAAAGGAATGTTCAACAGCGGTCATTCACTAATTTAAGTCACAAACTATATGGGCAAAATTATTCATATATTTTCAAGAAGTCTTATAAAGACTTAGGGGGCTTTTGCAGCCTTTTGGGGATGGATACATTAGAGACAACAATTGTGCCGCAAAGGCTTTCACCTTATTTGGAGAACCTGGTAAAAAATTCTTGGAAATAAAGAAAATCTGGTCAGGTTACAGATTGATAATATTTTATGAAATCACATCTTAATGATTATACAATATGTAACACTAATAAAGGCATGTTTTGTTACTTTTCTTCACTTGAAGGCGACCAAAATCTTAAATTCTTACTATGTACATTAGACATGTACCCCCTTAAAAATAAACAAGATGTAAATCAACTTTTTGCAATAATTTATATATTTTGCAATCTAATGTAATTCATCATTCATTCATTACATATACATAGTATATATACACCATGATGGATAACTTTACAAGGGTATATAACATTACAAACTAAATATAATATTATGATTCAAAAATCATTATGTTCAATGTTGAAAAAGTAGTTGTGAACATTGGGATAACGTTGTTTTGTAATAAAGAATAACTTCAAGCAAATGACCCTTCATATTGTTGATAATAGATCTGTACCAGTAACGAAGTAAACATTCAAACTATGAAAAGGTTTTATTTGAAGAGATAGCGAGTAGGGAGACCAATGTTGATGCCCTTGGGCATGATTCACCTTCAAAATAACAAAAGAAATGAATAATAATACAATATCTGATCAATTCATAAATCATTTTTCTAATTTCTTAAACTGTAACATATTTTTGTAGCATAAAAAATAACAAGATAACCAAAATATCCTCATTATGTTTTAAAATATGTCTGTTGTTGATGTAATATATTGTTTGATGGAGTATTTTCATGAGTCGCAAGTTGTATCTTAGTTACGATAGACCAGGTTTATATGTGCAGCACCATTGTTACAAAAGTATATACCATTACCATAAACTATAGGAAAATACTATTGCGTCTGGAAAGTAAAAAAAAATGTGTTAAATAGCTGTCTCTGTGAATTCCGAATCACCAGGTTGAGGAAAATATGTACTGAGAATTCTTGAGAGATACGAATACATTTATGGCTCGTCTTTGTCAGATCTTTTGAGACATTTTCTACTTATTTAATTAATTTAATTACAATTATAAACTAATAAAAAGCTTTGCATCTTTACTTGATACGTAATCACAAAATCTTTGAATGTTTATCAATTTTAATAATCATTGAACAAAAACTATAAAATTACTCTTCGTCTACAAAATCATCATCTTGATTTTAATCTAGCATTCCTAGTTGTAAGATATGTACAAGCATTTACATGTAAAGAATTAACCTGATATAAATACTGTACTTATGTTTATTTAAGGCAATTTGCTCGTCTCATAACAGTATTGCAATGAACAGAAATCATGAATGTAAAATATCAGAACCTACATTATTACATGTATCATCAATCAAACACTATAAACACAGTAGCTTTAACTAGTGAATATTATAAAACCTAAGATCAACTGTGCAAATTCTTTTTGCAAAACACTACAAAATGATTTCATGAGTTTGTATGTTGTATTCAGCAGGTGTATTATTGCTAACATGTTGATTCCTCTTGCTCGTTAAAGGCCAGAAGTTTCAAGTCTCTATTCTCTAACTCTAAAGTCAATTGTTCAATTTCAGCCTCCAGCATTCGGTTTTTACGTAACATTTGGACATAATTTAATTGAAGTTGTTTTTGGTATAGTACTACTTTGTTCTTTTCTTCCAGCCACTGTGTACGTTCAATCTCAAATTGTTCTTGTTGGCTACGTAATTTTTGGCGAATGGCATCAGGGCTTTCAGATTTAGTTGTAGCACCAGCTGTATTATGTAAATATTGCGTTACTTCATTGTCAGTCTGCGTAATTTCCTCAATTTTATCTTTATGGGCATCGCGCCACACTTTATCAAGTTCAATACGAGTTTTGGCAAGGTCATCAGATTTAACTGCAATATCATTCCTAAGCTTGCCGATTTCCTGATCTCTGCGCATGACTTCGTATTCAGAGTCCTGTAGTTGAGATTTCAATGAAAGAACTTCATTAGAGCGTGAGCTTGATGAGTCCTGAGAATCTTTTAACTGAGATTTCAGTAGGGATATCTCCCCTGTTTTCTGACACATTTCCCACTTAGCTTCATCTAGTTTTGTCCTATGTTCACCAAGCTCAGTTTCCAGTTGGTCACAATGTTGTTTACCTTCAACATTTTCTTTACGTAATTTATCACAGTTCTCTTGAAGGTCTTTCTTCTCTTGCTGTAGTTTGTACATCTGTAGTAAGAGTGATTGCTCCACCTTGAAGCACCGTTGTTGCTCATCTTTAACCTTGTCTTCGCATTCATCACGTACATCAGCCACTTCAACTAAATGATTCTGCTCTTTCTCCTCATAAGTCTTAATAATAGCATTCTCATTGCGTTCCATTGTTTCACGTAGATTACGGATCTCTTGATCTTTCTCGCGTAGCATTGCTTCAAATTCAGTCACAGCTACCCCGCTGTCACTTGGAGAGGGGGTATGGATGTATGACTCCATGTGATTGGAAGCTCGACTGTGATTGGATGAGTTATAAGACTCAGGACGTGGTAAATATCGACTTGGTACAGAAGCTGGGTGACCATTTTCAAAACTCACATTTCGATCTGAGTCTATCATGACTGAGTTGTTCGATAAGTTCGATCTACTAGTGCTCCTATTGGCTGACGAATAATCCTGAGAGCCACCATAACCATCGTCCTGACTGGTCGATTTGACATCATGTGATTTGTGTGCGGGACTAGAATATCGCACATTGTAGCCAGTATCTGGTGTCGGAGGTTTGACATCGTGACGTAGGGGACTGCTACTGGAGTTTGTGGGATACCTCACGGCTGGTACAACAGGCTTGAATGCTATAGGTTTGATGACTCCTTTATCTGGGCTCTGAAACACATGGACCACACAGGGTTAATATTAAGTCATTTTGAATCACATCAAGCAAGAATCTTAAAGTTTTTATTCAATGATGTGCATTCACTATAGTGGTGCAAAACAAGTTTATCTATAAAATACTTCATACCAATGAATATAAGAGATTTGATTCATCTAGCAATCAAAACAATCATTCACATTTTATGCAAAATTACAAATATCCCAAAAGTTACTAATTTCAAGTTCCTTAGCAATTTTCAGTCTGTAACCATGATTCATAATGCATACATAAAGTGAAATACAGGAATGGCTTCATTGCATAAAACAGGGAAAACAAATGGGAAACAAAACAACAAATAAATCTGCTAATTACTGTTAATCACTAGTAATAACGTTTAAAAACAAACAAATACAAATGAATAGTAAATGAGTGGAACATGCAATGGTTTCATAGAGACTTTTTGGCCCTCTTATAAATAGGCCCCAAATTATTCTATATGGCCCTCACTACACTGGCCTAGATTGGCCTAGGGCTAATTCAACTCTAGCCTATATAACAGAAAATAAGCAACATGAACAAAATGGCATGATTAGTAGTTCTTCATACTGAAACATAACATTATAACATCAGAACAGTCATACATTTATATAGTCTTGCATCAAGTGTCTGGATTCCTCTCAAGTTGTCTACCCCTCCTATAGACAGGTAGCAGCAAACAATATGTTGTAAATATTGAATATTTTGAATGAAATAAATTTCAAAAAGAACACTGAGAATATTAAATGTTTCAACTTCTTTCAATATTTTGCAATACAGGAGTTGAACTTTTCAAATATGTGATACAGGTAGTCTTGACATTTATCAAATGCAAGTTATGACTGTTCTGTTATCTAAATAGTTTAACCATCATTCCAGTGCTGAATCCTGGTATCTACATGTAAATGAAACATGGTGGTGTTTGGGACAGGAGGTGTGTTAGTACCATCATACCTGAGTACACAATACAGCAAATGTAGCACTGTCTAGACTCTACAATATCACAGAGACATCTTTAACTCAGGCTTAATATAATTTATTAAAGTGCACAGAATAAGATGTAACATCTATCAAAAAGGGGCTCAAATGATAATATGTTTATTGATTAATCAGGAGGTCACACCTAAAGATATTTTATAAAGCATAATAAAAATCAAAAAGATTTTTAAGAAAAATAAAATAGGACCACATTGTAACTTTAGATTTTATAGTTAAATGAAGCAAGGGTATTGAGATTTATATTTTAGTAGGGTAGTTTAATAAATACTTTATGTTGGACCACTGGAATAAAAATGTTATATCAAAATTATTTCGAATTATTTCTCTATTGTCGCTATTCCTAAAAACACATTTATCAATAGTTCCATAACGTGTACTGTACTACTAAACCTTACTCCACATAGTTCTATTGTAACCTGTTATTATGGCACACTATCACAGCTCTGAGGAATTAGAGAGAACTAAATATGTAGGTCACATTGTATATTTTCTCCTTATTTACCTGTATTTCTGCATAGATATCCTCTGAATCTAAATTCCATTTTTTGTAACATATCTTAATGCAACACATGTCAAACTATGTTGCGTTCCATGTAATGAGATCCTAAATGCTCCAGGTACATTGATACACCTAGCACGCAGGTATGAATGCTAATGTGAAAGCAGCTGATCAACTTTTTATTGTTTTAAAGGTTTGACATTTACATGAAAATGTAACTGAGCTAACTTGTAGAGGATCCAAAATTTGTGAACTCTAGAGATCGATTCCTAAATCTGAATGTTCAAGATTCTTAAGTATATGTTCCTTTCTGCAATCAAGTATATTCCGACTCTGAGTCATCCTGTTTTATGTCATCTATTTCACTGTGTACAAAACACTCAAAAGAGCCCTTCATAAACTAGGGTCTCCTTATGTACGCTACTTCACACCCTACCCGAAAGCCATTCACCATTCATGGAGATTGAAACAGAGATAATGAAATAATTCAACTATTCCAATTTGGCTATTTATCTGGGGGCATACTTAAAACATATGAAAGTTATATCTATGCATTAGTCCCAAATAATTTAAAAAGGAAATTTCAATCAGGAAAGAATTTAAATCCTGCATTTAAAAAATATTTAATCCCTGCTACAGAAGTGTCGGTCATGAAACCATTGTAAGGAAGGGAAAGAAAATGTTTACTTAGAACATCACATAAAAGCTTGACATTAACATGTAATCGAGAAATTCCTACAAATAGTCCAACCAGTAAGATACAGGTAACAGTTTGGTGTTATTGTGTTTTATTGCCATTGGAGGAGACTAAGTGAAATACCCAGGGGTTACAGGTGGGGCCATTAGGCTGCAACCAGGGCACATTCCTCTGATGCTCCAGGCTATCAATCTTTCTATCTAAAGACACACTTAATACAATAAACATTTTGACATATAAACCCATATAGCTGACAATAACCTTGAAATAATTCAATAGCTATCAATCCATCTGTAACAATTCCATTGTCTAAAATAATTATTTGCAGTGCAAAAGATTTGAGTTTTTAGACCCCTTACTCTATCAAGTTATCTTACCTTTTTATATGGGTATATATGAGGTGGTTCGGCTCTGCGCTTCCCCACAACAGCATACATGACTAGCTCCTCCGTTATAATGCAAATATAATCCTTTATTCAAGAGATTCCACTTCCTTAATACTTAAATATAATTGTTCATTTCCTTGAATGTTTCCAATTAGCATTTATCCCCCAAATCTGTATCAATTAACTTATCACAGTTTTACATTGGTGATATCAGCGCTTTTTCATTTTTCAAATTATCTAATGGCTGGTTTTTTAGCCCAAGGCAATAGTTATGACAAAGTCCTGTTTTTTCGCAATTATGTCAAATATGTTGGGCTATCTATATGCTACAAATTGCATCTTATGAATAATTCAAACTATTTTCCACATTGCATTTGTCATTCCATTGTAAGCGTGTTTTGTTGCTTAGTGTCGTCCTTTGTTGACACAATGTTCACGTTAATAAGCTTAACGAGATAACGAAAAGTACTAAACATCTATCAAATATGTTTCTTTGTTTTTATTGCTCTGCTAAGTGCTCGTCCACCTGACAGTATAGATGACACATTATGTACAACAAACCACACTCAAAACATTATCTTATTGTTCCAAAGTAAACTTTGAAAAATCGCTTTTCCTGAACATCACCATTCAAGCAAATATATTCTCCTCACTTGGTGATTTGCCTTCAGACAGTACATTCACTTAATTCAATCATTGACTTGCTACAGAGCTCATAATTAAATATATTCATTGATTTTAAAGTGTATTTTGTGGTATATACGTATTTACTACACCTTTATATAAGCTCTTAATCCACCTAAGTGTAAATATTAATGTTTCATCAGTATGTCGAGTAAACAGATTTGAAACTGTCTGATATGTAATGACTGATTGCAATCATTGTTTCAAAGCATTTAAATTGATTGTTTTGTAATTCAATCCTTTGAAGATTTTAGAAACACTTGAGTTTATGTTCATAACACATACTTTCATCAAATATTAATTTCAATTGTTCTATTTAACAATACTTTTGAACTATAAAGTCCCTTGTCACTGGCCAGAAAAAATTTTGGCCCAAATTTGTGGGCCTTTTTTGGCATTACTGGGCCTTTTTGGCTCTTATTTTTGAGTTTCAAGAAAAATAGGCCTTAAGTTTTCAAAATTTGGGCCCAACTTTTTTCAGAATTGAAAGGGCCCCTTTCTTGTTAGTTTCCAGACCCGCCCCTGCTTGTGATATCCTGAGAACTGACCGCTGTCTGTAAGATATGAGTATCATCCGCATGATTTATTTTCAGAACTTATCCTTGGTATTTAAACTTCAAACGTATCATTCCAAAATCCTTGAATCAAATACTATTGCCTCTAAGGATGTGTCTTAAAATACAATACCAGGAGCTTTGCTAACTTCTTCTACTAAAACCACTTGTATCTTTTTACAATCAAAATTTCCGACTGTATGACTAATCTATGACTCCTTCAAAACAGTGACAGAGCAAATTTCCTCCAAAAAATCTAATGTTTCTTAGTTTTTATGACAAATGAAATTTTCACGAATGAGTAATATAGTTCCAAGAAATAGCAATATAGCAATGCTGAAATATTAGGCATTAGAAAATTGTGCATGTTGTATTTTAACTGTCACAATAATGGTACCACCCTGGTAGAGCATCCGTGACCTGATAAGCTCTTAAATTCTTAGACACACAATCATTCCACAAGATTTTGATATCATCAAATCGACCACATCTGCATCTCCATCATCTTTTCCTCAAAGTTGAAATATTAATATGGCTTTGCTGGTTGATACAAGCTCAAATTTGCAACAATTCAGTTTCATTAGACTTTTAAAACTGAGGAGAAATGAGATGTCATGGTTTATCATGATGTCATGCAACCACCTTTTGGGAAATTATACAAAATCTAATTAATTAATGCCAGAAGATAAGCAAGGTATCACATCCAACAGGATCTTCAGTTTTGATTAACCAAAATCCTGACCAAGCATAATCTACCTGACCATGCATTATCTACCTGACCATGCATAATCTTACTGAGATTTCGGTAATGAGTCAAGGAGATCCTTGCCAAGATTTTCTTCTCAATTTTCTCAAGAGACTGGTGTAGAATGCGAAACGTTCAATTATATTGTATATATCTGGAGTATCAAACTTTAAGTGAGTTTATTTTTCAATTAAATGTAAGAAATCGAACCTTGATGAAAACAAAAATAATGTAATGGCAATTTATTTCTCATACATCTGGAACATTTCATTGGGCTTGATTGACAGGTGAAGTAAATCTAATTAACAATGAGTAGTAGACAAAGTTGTGATTGTGAAAAATTGTGATTCAGGTCATAATTCTGAGCGATGTCTTTGGTAAAATGTCTTAAATTGTTCATTGAAGCACCAA